TGGCGAGAATTACAATTTGTCTCGCATAAGTGAGCTAGAAAATTTAAGATGTCAGTTATTGAGAATGATTTTTGGCCCTATCAGAGAGGCCTATCTATCTCATTCATGCATTTAATTTTCCATTGTTTCAAGCAACAAAAACTATTTTATTGTTAGTAGATGTCATTCTATTCATAACTGCATCGTAATTTTGAACTGCTGCTAAAAATCGAGGGTTTCTTGTGAGTGTGCGTGAGCTCTGCCACAGCAGATTTTGTTCGGAAGTTTTAGTGAGCAACATTTTCAACAAAATCCGAGAAACCGTAGATTCATTTTAGAATGGGCTTTAAAAATCGGAATCAATCTTAGATTTACTGTGATCTGATGTTCAGCTGCGCCTACCTGTAATGTTGCAGTAGATTGGCATTAACTTGCGTCCAACTATAGCTCTCATTTACTTGAAGTAAATGCTCGGCGGCACTCAATAATTAGCCTTTTCATAAAACAGGGAAAAAACAAGGATCTCTTAAACAGGATTGAAACTTCTACCGCTGGAATGGTTAAACACTCAAATTTAAATCCTGTGTGATGGTAAAGAAAGAACAGTACTGTTGTATAGACAATATTGTTTCTGCCTGCCAAAGATGGGGTTCTGAATGATATCAACATGAATACCTCATCCAGCTGAAAAGTCCTCCATTAGTCTTTCGAATTAAGCAGGGACACGTCGCTTTCAACCACGTTGGTATTCCATTTCTTTTTCCTCTTCAATTTCCCACATGATCACAAAAAAAGCAAGAACGAGTAGTCCTACTGCATACGCCCGCTGAAAGATTAGAATGCCCACTGAAAATGCGTTCCGAACGAGTCAACGACTCGGAGCCGCGACAACAGTTCGCTGGATTGTCAAGGTTTCCCGGAAGTCTTCCCCAATCTTGAACTGGATTTCCGTCCGGTTCCACTTGTCGTAATCGGAAGGATCGAGCGTCACTTCGATGTACACGGCGCGATCGTCCTTGTCGATCGTTAGCACGGTTTGAGTTCGGGTGCCGTAGCGAATCGATGGCATCCGAATGAACATTCTCGAATACGGTGATAGGAAGTCGTCGGGACGCCCAATTCCTCTCGACGCTATTTCTTTGTCCGGATAGTACCTATGAAGTTTAAAAAAACCAAATTATCCCAGTTCTTTTCTTCACGCATACGCATAAGACTTAAAATTTAAAAAAAAAACATCGTCAATTAACCTAATCAGAAATTAACGGAATAATTCAGATTTATATAACTCACGAATCGCGATTGCTCAGAACACCAAAAAGCCGTCTCTCAAGGGTTTTTCTAACACTGTCCACCGAGTCAGTGAACGGCTGCCACTCTGCTTTCGTCATCCTCACGGAGGTCCGGAAACTGTTCCAAGAATACCCATCATTAGGTTAACAAAAAAGTTGAATTTATCCATACAATACTAAACTCACGCTGAGGTTCCTGCGTCGACTTTTCTCCAAAATCTCCCAGGGACATTATTACCAAAACCGTAGGAAGGAATTTTCAACGCGTTGACTTCACAGGATGAGTCCGGTATTGAAGGGAACCCAAACGGCGGACTATCTCCTTGCATCACATTACAAAAATGCCACACAGCATGCTTTTTCAATTCCACCCTGCAAATATGAAAAAAAATAATAATATAGGTATGATGAAAATTTGCTGATCTTTCCTCCTGCTCGTGAACATCACGTCATCTCTAATTTGGTTAATTTCATGAAATTGAGACTGTGTCAGGTAAACTTCGTATTTGGAATTGCATAATACAAAATTAAATGATTATCTCATAGTCAATGCATTAAAAATGAAATCTATCATGGGGTGTACGAAGTAACCTCCGTGGAATGCCCAAGAAGATTGTTGACGATTTTACATTGATGATTAACACAATATACAGAAAGAAAAAAAAAAACCTTACCTATCCGGGTCGAAGATCACAAGTTTGTATCCGTTGTATTCATCGGACTGATCGCATAACGAGTTGAGAAATGCTTCAGGATTGACTAAGGGATCAATGGCTTGGATGGGCAAGCGTCCTCGGCCACTCGCGTCTTGTCTGAACTCATCAACCGGCATCAACACATTGAGCAGGGCCGAGACTCGACCAGTCACCGGATTCAGGGCCAACCACGTGCCTTCTGACGCGTTGACTTCACAGGATGAGTCCGGTATTGAAGGGAACCCAAACGGCGGACTATCTCCTTGCATCACATTACAAAAATGCCACACAGCATGCTTTTTCAATTCCACCCTGCAAATATGAAAAAAATATAATATATGTATGATGAAAATTTGCTGATCTTTCCTCCTGCTCGTGAACATCACGTCATCTCTAATATGGTTAATTTCATGAAATTGAGACTGCGTTAGGTAAACTTCGTATTTGGAATTACATAATACAAAATTAAATCATTTTCTCATAGTCTATGCATTAAAAATGAAATCTATCATGGGCTGTACGAAGTAACCTCCGTGGAATGCACAAGAAGATTGCCGACGATTCTACATTGATGATTAATACAAAGTACAGAAATAAAAAGTAAAAAAAAAAACCTTACCTATCCGGGTCGAAGATCACAAGTTTGTATCCGTTGTATTCATCGGACTGATCGCATAACGAGTTGAGAAATGCTTCAGGATTGACTAAGGGATCGTACCGAACCTACCCGTTCGCAGGAGCCGGTGAGCGCAGAACAGACTTGAGTAGTTGGCCGTAGTTGTGTAACTCGTCCCGGCTCTGAGCTGGTCAGTGGCCTAAGTCCCGGTTGGTGCACGGAAGACGTCTTCCTTCCATCGCATCACGACCTATTTGAGGTTGGGCGAACAAAAAAGATTCACTCAAGAATTTCGGAGAGATGCAAGCATTTCCGGATCATTTGATTGTAGCCTAATCCCTACCAGACCGCGCAGATTAGGGGTATGTAAAGATGGTAAAAAATCTATTGGAAGGAATCCTTGGAGATTATTCCAAAGAGGTATAGTTACCTTATTGTATGTTTTTGTTAAGAGTTGTTTTAATTTTGCTTAAAGGTTTGCTTTTATACTACCGTGTACTTGTTTACATGTCGTAAAATTTAGTAGAAGTCTTACTATTAAAAAAGTTTAAACAAAGATTATTATCCAAAGAAAGGTCTGCGATCTTTTGCGAACTTCGACGCGATATTTTATTATTGAGTAAGTTTTGCTATTCCGTTGATTAAGGTATCAATGAAAACAAAATACTGTACTGTACTTCCTCAGGTACCAAGCGCACATTTTTTTAGAATTTGAAGGGAAAAAATGAGTGTGCATCATGAGCAGGTACCAAGTGTAACAAATGTTAGAACTTGAGGTGTGCGTCAAACTTGATTCTAGGAATAATTTAGACTCATTTCAAGAAGCAATTTCTAAAAATGGCAGAAATTGAATTTAGGTTCAATTCAAGTTAAAATCATAATGGTTTCATTTTCAAAATATTGAAATATTTTTCAGTCACTAAAATAGGGCGCAGGTCCTTCTTGAAAATTACTTCTAACCAAATTTTTCGCTGAAAAATCTAGGAGCATTTCCCAAGTCTTGCTTGAGGTGCGTGGCGTGGCACTTGAGTAAACCTGATTTTTAAAAATGAACGAACCTCCAATGACGGGGTAACTTCGCTCATGTGATGTCTGTACTTGCATTCGGTGCATTCAAGACGCAGCACGATTTTCTTGGTTGTTTTGGCCTAACGGAAGGAGTAAAGAACGCTTTTCAAAACTTCTGGGATGACTCATGCGTTTCAAAGAAAATAAACTTGAAAATGTCAAAATATAGCTCAAGTAAATAAAATCAGTTTCTGCCCTCATCGGAGTCTTGGTTTTTCCGCTCTCCATCCCGTCAAAAATTATCGGAACGATGTAGAAAAAAGTTAGTTGCTGTTCGCAAGTAATTCAACGACACGCGCAACTGGGACAGCCTTTAAAGTAAACAAACCCCTCAAGTTTCCAATCTCCTCTGATAAGAGCATTAAAAATCTTTTTCTTCGGATTTACAGTAAAATGTTTTATTCAAATGCGCATGGTGCAGAAATGTCATTTTATTCAAAAAATGAAATTGGAAATAATTCGACTGAAGTGAGTGAGCTTTCAATTCCTCTTTTTTTATTTTTAAATGAATTCCTACAACATTTAGGAGTTACTGCAGTTCGTCAATCGGCCACCACTCTCCATTTCAGAACTTCGTAATATTCAGGAATACTTCCATCTTCATCTTGGAACCCTCATTCTTAATAAACAATCACAAACGTGTCCAATTTAAATCAACAGTTTATTTACCTTTTTGCGGAAAATTGGCTTCGTTTGACCACCGTAACCTTGCTGCTTCCGGTCGTAACGTCGTCGACCCTGAGCGGTTTTCCTCTCTTTGCTTTTCTTGTATTGCGAAACCTTATGCGGCTTGTGCACTCCGCATTTTTTGCAAAAAGTTTTCCTCGCCTTTGGCACGTTCACCTAGGAAGCAAGAAATGGATATTAAATGAACGCAATGCAAAAAAGTTCGCCATACTCACCATCTTGGTTCGCGAAATTCGTCAACTGACGCACTGCCGTCAAAAATTGGTCTGAAACTTGAAAAAAAAAATTGGTTTGAGAATTTTATTTAAAAATCCACAAGTGTGAATCACAAAAAAAAAGCAGCGAGACACTTCACAGCTGGATTTTCATCCAAAGCTTTTACGAAGTTGAAAATGAGAAAAAATTTATAATTTTTCATGCGAATATAAGACGCATATTGTCCAACTGCGTTTAACAAAAATGATTGAAATATTCTAGTCCATCGTATTGTCATAATACAGTATAAACATCAAATCAAATGAATATATGAACTATAACGCTCTTGCCCCAGAGGATGTACGTGAGGCATGATTCTGAACAAATTAAGCAATACGTAATTCAAATGTACGATGGCATTTGGAAATTTTTACTCCGAGTTTTTCTTTTTCAGAAACATGATGGCAACTAGAATCTTTTTCCAATAATAATTTCCCTCTGAGCATTAAGATACCGTAATATTGCTTCCACCTCGTGGAATGTTTTACAGCATATCGTGAAGCAAGCAAAAGTGCGTCTTATATTCACCGAATTGATTTCAATTCTCGAGAACTAAGGCAAATCATGGAGATATTCGAAACAATATTCGGAAAATGCGCAAAATACTTTGAAATTCCGACATGTTTGCCAGTTAACGCGAATTTAAGGTCATGCTGCTCATTTTTTCCAAAAACCGATAAAACCCAAAGCACTCTTCTTCAAATACATAATTATCCTTCAAGATGACAATCTCGGCATGGTTAACACGACGATAATATCGCGGTGCTCAAAACAAAACACAAGAAAAAACCAACTCAATTTTAATCATTCCTGCGGCTTTTAGGCAAACCTTCGCGAAAAGTGATGCGGATAATCTAATGCTTTCCACAACAAACTACACACGTCACTGAAGTCCGCTAGAGAAAAAGCACTTCTTAAAATTATTTTTTCATCCTCTACAACAAAACGGAAACTTCTCTTCTGTACCGAACAAGGATTTCCTCACTCATAAATACTGTACTTGAAAAAGGTGCACGTGAAAATTCTTCATGAATCCATTTGTTTTCAGTTGCCGCGTGTTCATTTCAATTCCGCAAAATCAACTTTTGGAGTATTAAAAAGAAAATCGCGGAATTCAAACAAATGTTACCAGTTCCTAGAATTAATTTTAGTTCCGATCCGCAACCAGATTTGAAATCGTACTCGAAATTTTGATTTTGATCGGAAACAATGAGAAAAATCCTCGTAAATTTCAAACTTCAAGAAAAATTCTTCCTCACTCAAATCCCCGTCGTGATACAGAACATTTCGTGTTGAATCCGCAAGAACACAATACTTGAAAAAGTTCCAAAATTTTTCTCCTCTTTTTCGACCTGAGCACTCGAATGATTATAACGTCTTCCATCAAAAAACAAAACAAAAACAAGCAACAAAAACGTCGTCGTTCATTGCAGAAACTCCGTGCCCAAATTAGTAGTAGACTTAAGTTATCATCTTGAACCAACAGTAATCTCTCCGGCGCCTATGCTCGTTTTAAATCCTGGCAAGTTAAATAGGTGTCGCACGCGTCGCATGCGGAATTCCCGCAAATCCTTCCGCATCCGATGGCACAAATTGGCCCCGAACACATGCAGAAATTGACGAGTCCAGGCTTCGCCGCCTCGAATCAGGTCTTCGTCAGCAGCCGGCGCACACAAGGAAGCACTTTTCAGCCACGGGCGACGATCTGGAGTTTGGTTTATTTCCAGAGCCCTGGAGAGGTTCTGGGCCGCCTGGCGGTGCTGTGACGTGAGCGGAAGGGCACCGACTCCGAGCCACGTCACGTCCGTGCCAGGTAGGTCGGCATGGAGCCGATCGAAAAATTTCATCATTCTTTCCTGAAATTTCGACAATTTTCCAATAGAAAACCGATCAAGGAAATTGAAAATATGAGGTCCTTTCACCCAATATGCGTACCTTCAACCGACATACATTACAAATCTTGAGATGGAATAAGTGTCGAAAATGGGTTGAGCACATCAACGCATTTCTTGAATCAATATCATTTAGTCCTCATTTATCTTAGCAAAACGAGCAATATTTTCTGTTTACACTGAAAATTTAATACAAAATCCGAAGCAAAGATTCAACAATGCGGTTCAGTTTAAACCTTTTTCGAACATAACGCAGGATTTTCCGGGTCTTGCTCAAAATAACGCGCCATAAAGTGAGAAATCGGAGGAGGGCGCAAATTGAACCCCTTGTCGTCGGACATCAAACTAAAAGCCTAGATTTATCTTCTGTTTCTCAGATTTTATCCGATAAAATGAAATGGCATGATTTGGCAAGTTGTAAAGCGAAAACTTTATTCGGTGGTGGACAGTTACCTAATTTCACAACGCATTTCTTCGGAACTCACCTTCAAGGTTACCGCAGGAACACCAACTTCCCGCTTTGCATCATTTCTCCCGATGAGCACATAGACGTGCGCTGCGACACGGCCATCAAGCAAATTTGACAACCGCCTGGGGATAGAATAAAATTCATTAAACGGTCGAACTTAACGCTGACATCTTGCAGAAATATCGTACAACATTCTTCAATACCAAAATTTCTTTTCGGAGTAAACGATTCACAGAATTCGACCAAGTCGCAGACATGAACTTCTCCCATAAAAAATCCAGCATGCGATAATGCTCCCTGACTCCAGAATAGTTTACAGAACACGAAAAATATGTGTACAGTACATCGTAGAATTTAAAGTTTCCCCAAAATGTATCCTTCTCGTGAAAAAAGCAGCAGAACAATTTTCAGAGACCTTTCACAATAATCCCGACCCAGAAGTGTTGAAAAACCCAGTTATATAAATTACCAAGAATGTTCGAATTTTCAGAGACCTTTCACAATAATCCCGACCCAGAAGTGTTGAAAAACCCAGTTATATAAATTACCAAGAATGTTGGGCCATCCACATCAATTTAGAATACTCAATTTTTCAACAACTATAAGCAGGCGAATTTTTTTTCTCTTGTGAATTTCGAAAATGCATGACTCCATTAAGATTAATTAGCGCTCTAAATTCAATGCCAAAACTTGCGGAGTTCATCTTATTTAGAAAAATAAAAAAAAATCACAACGTATCGGGTCATGTCGTAATTAAAGAGGGAAATTTACGCTGGAAATTAGTCCTGGGGCTATTCTTCGTGAAAAAAAAAACATATTTCGCTTCCACGAAAAGACACGATATTTTCGTCAAGCTCCAATAAAACGAAGAACAAATATTAACGGAAGAATTAAAAGGAAGAAAACTAAAAGAAACCCAACCTGAAAAAACGATCGTTGCTGCCCAGAGCAGAAAGCTCCGGGTCGTCGTAGGATATTACACTCGAGTGCATCGGCTTGACTCTCGTCAGATCAACCATGTCTCGTTCCCGTTTCAACCGATCTGGCTCAAAAGCCAACTTTCCGAGAGGCCCGTCCGAAACCACGATGAACGTGGGATGCGTCAAGCTCTCGATACCCAACCACGGCGGCCGTTGGGTCTCCAATCCATGCGCCAATACTTTCTCCGCAATCATCGCCTTTCGCATAAGAATAACCAGAGAGCATATCATAAAAGGCACATTAGAAAATTCACATAAGGAATACAGTATATTTTTTTACAAGAGCACAAAACAGACGAAATTATTTTAGCTACCAAAAATGTCTGCTCAGTGGCGAATGTATCATCATCAATTCTTCCTCTCATCAAACCTTCCACGAATAATCCAAGTCGTAGCAAAAATGTAAATCCACCAAGATATCCATACGTTTATTCCTTTCAAAACGCCGCCGAATTTCTCGCGACGACTGCATTATACTTTCAGTTTTAAAAATACTTTGAATTAACAACGATGGAAAGAAGACTGCGGAATAATCGGAAAAATATTGACGCTCACCTCCTCCTGCGTAGGCTCAGACGAAGAAACAGCCATTTCATCATCGTCGACTTGAGGTCGGATTGGTTCAAAATCCTAAAAAATTGAATACGGAAGCTCTTCGTCAAATACAGTAATTTATAAATGAATTGTTTTCATAAGGAATGGCTCAATTATGAATGATTACAAAATTCGAAAACACATTTTCGATTTTTAAAAATTCTGCCTCATACGGATTTCAAGCGAAGAAAGAAAAAACACCGGAAATGAAGAAATAAAAAAATCTCAAGATCCACGAACCTTGGAAATATAGAACAAGGAAAAAATTTACTGCGTCTCCACGATACTCGGGAAGTAATTAGATTAATTTTGATGCGACGAAAAATGTCCTCGTGTACTACGTTATGAAGTAAAATTAAACCTGTACTGTAACTTACAAGTTCGTAGCACATTTTTTTTCCGAAGCCTGAAGTTCGCAGCAACATTTTACAAAGATATCGAGTACCAATAGAAGACATCCGTTTACCTGAAGTTCAAAGCTTACAACCTAAATTCGTACCGAACCTTGCATCATCACGTCCCATTGCATATAAGATAAAAAATATGACAGCGGCACCCCTTTACACTATACACGCATAATCTTTCGGACAACCAGAATGCATTCGGAATCTTTTCTGAAGTTTACTGAAAATAAAATAAAATAGAGAGAAGGTCTTCACTCACAGATGAAGGCCGCGACGGTTGAATCTTCGTGATAGTCCGCAACGGCAACGGCGACGGCGCTCGCACTGGAACACGAACCGGGGACACGGGCCTCGCAGGGGCTCGCACCGGCGACGCCTGCCTTGTTCCGTGGCGCACCGGCGACTGTTGTCGAATAGCGTGACGAACATGTGGCGACGGGTGACGCAGCGAGTGACCTCTATCGGTCATTTGTACAGGTGATGAAGCCCTCTGCTGATCGTTCACTACAAATCTGATAAATACGCGAAAAAAGAACACCCTTTTTAGTTTTTTGAGGCTTTTAACTTCAACACTCGACCTCGTTCACGGGGAATTCCGGCAGGTGTCGCCGAAGTTTTAGCTTAAATACAGGTTGAATTCTTTAATGCGACTAGAACAGCTTTGTAAAACCCAACAGATTTTGCAATAAGTACTGCACAAGTACTACATTGGATCGGCTTCGAATCACTCCGCATGGTGGAACACGCGACTTGAAAGCTTGTTTTCATCTGCCAATAAATTTTCTTCAAAAGCATTGAATCGAGCACCTCACCAATCAAAAATCTACATTAATGGCAATTTTTTTTTTTAGCACGATCCAATGGATGGTATACTACACTTTATTTCTTTAAAATGACTGGGGTGCAATTTTACCCATGTCTCATCTCCAGTTCAACCTACAGTCAAAGGGAAAACACGATCGCGAACTTCTGTCAAATTCCAGTTTCCAACGAACCGAAACCACTGAGAGGGGAAAAAAAGAAAACGAAATTCACCTTCGCTGAGGAGGCGGCGACGGAGATCCTTGGCCGCGCAGTGGAGACAACTGAAGCCGTCGAACCGGCGACCGTTCCCTAGAATTATTCCCCGTAAACAAACGAGGCGGACACTCATTGTTCTCGTCACGCCGACGCCGTCGCAAGGGTCCGTCCTGCGTCTTATTGCTGAAACGATTGTTGAACTGCCAGGGTCGGGATTGAAAGTCCTGGTTCGGCGGAGGTTTGTTGCCAATGCGGCGCGACATTGGGGGCGGCGGACTGCGCTGGCGGTCCTTGACGAACACGGCGGACGGTATCGAGTGGTCGGAAAAGCTATTGTTCATTCCGCGACGATCGCCGCGGAAACCCCCACCCCCGCCGCGGTTCGAGAAATACATATTCGACGGCGACGGATTCATCTGAAACGAAATCGTCCTTTCATTCAAACATAGTTTTAAAAATCAAAACGACGAAGATACACATTTTCCAACTGTCGCCAAGAAATTTCCTGTTTTAAGAAAAATGGCTTTTCTCCGACAAAGGATAAAATAAATCTTACGAAAATGTTGTGGTTGATAACGGAACTAACGACAGCTGGGAAGAAAGCAACTGAAATCTTTAAAAGGCGCACTTTCACTTGATTTCCGAATTGAACACAATTTATCATTCTGAAATTCATGACTTCTCCGAATTCGTGAGAAAAAGATATGACGATTCAAGATGGATACAACTATACAAGCTCGACACTTCATGTGAAAGCATTTCGACTTCGCCTCGTGAAGTTTACCCACGCAAACCAAACGCGAACTCTCTGACATAGCGTGCTCATTTCTCAAGGCACTGACACGATTTCAAATCCGTCTTCTAAAAAAATCAAAAATTTCACCGGCACGAAACTGGATGTTTCTGAAAAGAAACCAAAACATATATTTATAAGATTCAAAAATTTATAAATGATTTATGACGCAAAACGAAATTTGCTGGCACCACCTGCAAGTTCCTCACAGGGAATATATTTCAAGAAAATAAAATAATTCAGAAGCTCCAGAAAAGTGTACCCAAAATACCCCATTTACAACGGCGAGTAAACAAAAACTTAATACACTATGATCAGCTTCTGGAAAAAAAACTGAATCGTTTATAATCCAGCAATCACTTTTTGTACGAGTAGAAGCCTTCCCCACTTTTCTTGCCCAATTTACCCTCGGCCACCATCTTATCAAGCGAAGGAATAGGCTTGAACAACGGTTCGTCCGGATGGTCCTGATGCCAGCCTGAAAGAAAAAATAAGCATAAATAAAGAAATTATGTAGAATCGCGGAGATGGAAGAAATTTTACCATCCATGATGAATTTGCATGTATCAAGACCGACGTAATCAGACAGTTCAAATGGACCCATCGGATATCCAGCACCCAGCTTCATGGCAACGTCAATATCTCGCGCAGACGCATCTCCTGAAGCAAATGTTCACAATTCGCGATTTTAAAAAATCGACGAGATAAAAAAAAAGACAAAACCTTCTACATGAAAACAATTTTTGAAAATGTTTCGGAGATTTTTGAAGCTTTAAAGTGGCATAGAAAATTTAAAATATTTAAACCCCCCACCACTCGAAAAAAAAAAAAAAAAATCTCCCGAAAATCGCCCAACAGTTCGGATTGATAACAGTGTTGTACCTCTTAGTCACATCAACATTACGTAACATTTCGGAGAAAAAAGCTGTCATTCACTTTATAGCCCATCTATAATATATTACCTTGTGGCTTCACGGAAAGAAAATTTGTGCGATATCTACGCAACGGCCAAGAAAATCATTACGTCTTCGACTTCTGACGGAAAAATAAGTTAAAAACGTCGCCAGACTCAACGAATATAGTTATTGAATATAAATATTGTAGCATCAAACGCATTCTTTCAGTGAAACTAGGAAGTAAAAAGACAAATTCAACCTGACCCCTTTCTAGCATTCTCACAGCCTCCATCATATATGGCACCAGTAAACGGTTAACGATGAAACCTGGCGTGTCCTGGCATACCACGGTTGTCTTGCCCAAAGCCGCTCCAAAATCCATCATTTTCTTGAATGACTCGTTGGAAGTTTCAGGAATACGCACCACCTTTACAATTAAAATATTTAGTAAATTTTGCCATTACTTTCTTTTTTCAATGCGTTGATACCTCAAGTAACTTCATCATCGGCACAGGGTTGAAAAAATGCAGGCCACCGAACCGATCTCGACGGTTCGTCGCGCTCGCTATTCTCCCGATCGACAACGACGACGTGTTCGACGTAAAAATCGTGTGATCCGGGGCAATCTGGGAACAGTCAGAACCTCGTTAGTCTTAAAGAGAAAAAAGTCGACAATATGGCCAAATTTAGAAATTGTATTCATGCTACTGTATTACTACAGTACATGAAAATATCGATCATCAGTAAGTAAAAGGAATGAGTAAAAAATAATATAAATCTGAACAGAATATGCCTCATGAGAAAATATGATTTAATCATTAATTAATTACTGTACAGATTAATGGCTTTTGAAAAAATACGTGTCTAAAAAGTGGCAAAATACAGTACAGTATTACCATTCAAAAGTACTGTGATCAAATCAAACTTAAATTTGAGTCCAGATTCAATTTTTAAGCATCCCCTCGCCTTTTAATAAACTAATGGTAAAATAATTTTCTAAATTTCTCTGGGCTACCCTGGAATTTGATACGTTTTCCTGGGACCGGAAATAACGTAACTAATCGAAAAGCAAAATTATCGGTCCGGATGAATTGCACCTAGATGATGATATAAGTTGAAAACTCACACTATCCAAGTTCTTGAACAACTGTTGCTTGACCGTTATATTTTCGACAATGGCTTCGATGACCAAGTCTGTTTCCCTCGATGATTCTTCGGCACTCGTGCTAGTCGCTATCTGCGCCATCGTCGTCTTCACATAATCGTCTTGAGCCCTCAATACATTTTACAAAGTCGACTTCTTGGACAAAAACATTTGGAATATCAGAAACCCTTACTGTGGATTGTCGAACTTCTTCTTGGACACCCTTTCCAAGGATTTGTGAATCGACAGCATACTTTTATTCAACACGTCCGGTGATAGGTCGACCAATGCGACCTTGTGCCCTGTTGCAGCTGCTACCTGTAAATATTGACATCATGAGAGTACCGCACGCAATTGAAGCTTGCAAATATTTCAGAAAGCAGACACAGATTAACAAAAAGCCTGAAGGAGTGATGCTGGCCCAAATGATTATTTTTTGTTACATGAAAGCTTTTATGTTTTCAAAAAAATCCAACAAAGTTTGACGTAGCTTTCAGCAGCTGATCCAAAGCTCGAAGAGCCTCAACAACTTTAATTTCGGAATCACTTGCAGACATTTAGAAAAGATGGAGTTTCGACACCCTGGGAGGTTCTCGCATCAAGTAAGCACTTTCTCAGACGAAAGCAACAATAACCCGTTAGTGCATGATCGCCCCCTTTTTCAAAGGAGTCAACTCCTGGGAACCAAACGTCGATGTTTTAGGTATCTGCATATCTACTCGATTTTGTTGAATTTTTTATGAATTTCGATTGGTCAAGCTTTACTTGGAAGTTCAAATGATATTCAAGCTCGGGTCTTTACTTACAAAATTAAAAGTATAACACGTATTTAAACAAAATGTTTTGACTATGGAAAAATGTTAGGTTGGAATCATTCCTCCGTGATGTTACTGCATTCATGAACTTTCGGACCTCCCCAGCGAAAACTTACCTGAGCAATACCTGCTCCCATCAGACCACCACCGATCACAGTGACAGAACGGATAATACCCGACATAATTATGCTTCGGAATGAAACCTAAAAAACAAGACATTCGAACACCATGATCAACAGTTGCTTCCGGAGATTAAAATAAAACACAGACGCGCCAAAACTTGGAAAACAAAAAACTCGTGGATCAAACACAATTTCGAAGAGATGGAACAGTTATGGTTGATGGCAAAATAGGCAGATACGAAAATGAACAGCCGACTAAATTTGCTAACGGTTTCAATTTTTCATGTAAAGATTCTCGATTTCATTTCATCAAAAAGGCAACCGCGGACCACTTCGAGTTCAAAAAGCCAAATATTTGCCACGATCAAATCGATAGAAAAAAACAAGACCCGTGCCAATCATAACCGCAAACCGCCTACTACTCAACATGAATGGCCCTTTTTTTTCAGGCTTTTGCCGAAGCCGTCCTCCGTGACTTTGTCGGCTTCGGGCCTTTCTGAACTTTGCCGTGTTCGTCCAGCCACAGATCTGAAGATGCCCTGACCAAATCGCGTTGACCGAGTTTCAACATTTTTTCTTCCCACTTCTCAATATTGATCTTGTAAGCCTCCAACGCCTTATGATACTCCGTTTCGAACGGCTGCTTTTTGTCGGCTGGCAAATTTCGCCATTCTTGCGCCATCTTCTTGACTCGGTCCTGGAAAAAAAAATTTCAGCTGCATAGATTGAAAGATTTTCAAATTTTATACGGATGTGATACACAGGGATACAAACCAACCATATTTTAGCTTTTCAGTCGAGAGCGTGCCAAAAAAAGCAGTTGTGCTAAATTTTCCCAGCGTTGAACAATAATACTGTATATAATATTCTTCTAGAATCGCTTGGGTTATGTTATCCTATGTTACTAATCTTCGAAGCTTTCCGGAATTTATGAGAAATCACATGAACATTAAAATGAATTTGGAGCTTCCTCGTTATTCGAAGCCCATTGTTTCCTTTTTCAAATATATTCACACTTGCTGTTGTGTACGCATTAGCTTGGGACAATTTATTTAAAGATTAGCTAAATTGTTTGTATCGGCTTCATTTCAGTAAATTGCCTCGCGATTTTCTCTATACGGTGATTTTAAAAAATCAACTTTGGTAATACACGGGCTAAGTAGCCTAAGTCCAGCATCACATTCTTTCAGCAATGCCACCACCTCCAACAATAAAACTTAAATCTCATTTAGCACTGAACAGAAAAGCAGAGAAAACTTTCACGCCAGATAATCCATTTGTGGACGGCAGTTGAAGCCTAATGGATCACGTTTCAGCTTTTCCCTAAAATTTTCCAGTACTTGTGTGGTGGAGAAACACGGGGATTTCCAAGCTAAGTACTGTACTGTATTGGATTTTCTTACCATTTCCCTGAATTACACTACAGTACTAACTTATTTATTTATTCCGAGAAATTAAAAAAAAAAAAACCTGCAAAACCGCGGTTCAAATTCTAAAAAGCTGAACTTCAACACAATCTTCGAAATCCGAGAATGTAAGATGCGGGAATCTAGCAGAATAAGATCGTGTGTTTGAATATTCCCGAGAGATAGGCATAAAAAACACAAGCAGGAAAGTTTCGGCGTTGCGCAAAAATGAACACATATCAAGAAAACGGATCGTTTACAGCTGATGATAAAACCACAACCTCCATCCATCCAACACCAATTTTCCAGCATATTCCACAACCCTGTTTACCTTATTAGGATTTCGACGCAATGAAGTCGACCCTTCATTCGCAAGCAACGGGAGTTTTAAAGCGTTTGCAAACGCAAAAGCTTTTTCAAGCAAGTGACTTGAGCTTACTTTGAAATCGTCGTTACTCAAGTCTCCTTTCCTCTTGGTCATGTACAGCATGAACGCAGTCTGTGGCCGTTTGGGTTTCTCGAATGCCTCTTCTTTCTGTGGAATTTTAAGAAGCTTAGGAAGTGTTTTGGAGTCTTGGCTTTCTTTCTATTAAACAGAAATTTGAATAACTAACATTTTGCATTAATGAACAAGCCAAAATGTGAAGGTATGTTAGAGGCATCGAGTAATTTCCGTCGTTTCCGCGCATTAATCCTGCCTCTCACCCGTTGGAGAAAATATATTTATGCAGAAAACCAATCAGTAATACTCAGCAGAAGGTGAAATAAACCAAAAATATTCCCTTTACAAGAACCGACTTCTCCACTTTTCTTTCTTTCTTTCGCATAATGCATTTTTCATTTCTCGAATTCATGTCCTTTTTGAGAATTAATTATACAGTACTGTACTTAGAAACACGCAAATGTGTTTTACAGGAAATTTCTGCAACACCGATCATTCGGTGATTTCCAACAGCGAATATCCGAAAAAGATAGGATCTGCTTTGTCATAAAAAGTGCTTGACAAACATTAACTCGAAGAATCCCTCAAATTTAAGAAATAATGTACGTATAACGCGGTACAGAAAAATTTCTGAATGCATTGATTTTGAATACAAACGTATAATTAATTTATAAACCGCATACTTACTTCATGACGCACCTTTTTGACAGCAAGTTTCTCTATCCTCGTTAGTCTTTTTTCTTTCGCGGCGCTGCGAGCAGATGAGATGGCAGCTTTTTCAGAATCAGTCAAAGAAGCGAGGTACTTTTCCCGGCTTTCCTTGTAAGCGACCATGTCTTTTTCGAAAGATTTCACGTATGGAAGCTTCTGATCTTCCGTCATTGCGGCCCATGTCTGACCCAAGTACTTGCCAAAATCTACACAAAAAAACGGCCATCAATAAGAAATATCACCAAGAAAAAGATACTAACGCATTATTCGTTAATCGCGATTCAGAACAGTTCCAAATTTTGTAATGAAAACTTTCAAATATTCAAGTCGTGCAGCTTAATTCTGGAAATTACAGTTCCATCATACACAAATTACAGGCAGTTTTGAATTTTCGACGTTCGACGTCGCGGTCCCATGCTAAATAGTAATTTAACATAACGACCCTGAATTTTTTATTCACACGATGAAGGCCAAGGGTATACACTAAGTTGTTCACGTTAGATTTTGCACGGAAAAAGTCGGTACTGTAATTTCAAAACGGGTTTCATATCATAAAAACTCATGCGTTACAAACACGCAATTCCAGAGAACAAGGTCAAGCGTCGAAGTGAAAAAAAAGTCAATATGTTCAGCAATCACGATTTGTTAAATTACGGATTCAATTCGAAATACGTTTGCCATTCGTCGATAATTTTTTTCTTAAAATATAAGGTACTACAGTAGTACTGTATGTTTGTGTTCGCTGTTTTCGAGATAAGAAAATTGTTTGTTTCTTTCACGGAGGATTCGTGATTTAGAATGATTACAGACCAGTAAATTTTTGCGATGGAGATTTCAGCAGCAATTGAGATCGATTTTCTTTGGCCCAGCGTAGGTATGGCCCCAGGGGTTTCGACGGCGGCTCGGAAATGCCCAGTTGCTCTTCAACACGAAGTGACTTCAAACGTTCCACAGAAGACGTCAAAGACAATGCCCTTCGAAAAGCAAATCAATCCAGAAATTACATTTGATAATTGAATAAAAGAGGATGAATACCGCATTACCGGATGGAGGAGTTCATTGGAGAAATCAACCTGTCTGACCACAACTCGCAGGGCTTCATGGCAGACACGCAAGTTTTCACGCGCCCCGGGGCAGAGAAAATAAAACGACCAACCGACAATCCTGCCATTTCAGTAACCTATAAAAATTCAATGAACGAAGTGTACATATAAACATGATCCTACTCAAAGAAAATCGAAAAAAAGAAGGCGGAAATCTCACAAGGAACACCACAGTTTTCTTGTACCGTTCTACAAGCTTTGGCCTCCATAGAGAGATACAATCACTAATACCAGGACTAGAAGAGTGAGTATCACAGGCACGTGCAGTAAAAATTGAAGAAAAACACAGATCAAGTTTCTCGGCAGGCTCCGACGCCATTCGCATTCTGGAGGCATCGTTCAGAAATTATACCAGGTTTCTTAGGTTTTGCGTCGTGCAACGGCTCCAGTTTCAGCCCCATCGTTGACTAGTACGAAAAAAGTGTTCGCATTAAAAACGACCATGAGCAAAAGAGTCCGGTAAGAGTCCTCAAAACTAGTTATTACTCAAATATACCAAAAAAATTTGGTTTCTGCCAAATTTAAATATCTGGAAGGAAAAATCGGACTGAAGTAACGTAAACAAATAAGATGCCAATTTAATTTGTTCTGATTAAAAAAATAATAATTTGATGCATACTCCGGGTATTACGGACTATTCTGAGAGCCTGAAAAATGTATCCACATCTTTGGGACTGTTGCCTCAGTTTCTTAGTACAGTACAGTATATTGAAAAAGTTCAAAATGCAATGTACAAAATATTGTCAAACTATTCATAAGATGATTTTGTTCTTTTTTAAGGCTGGGAAATCAGTTAATTTTGCATAGCCTTCCCGGGTAGAATCTTCACGCACTGAAATTACATTCAGTGATAAATTACGCGAATTGTGAGCTACTCAAGACGACTGACCTTTTTCTGCGCTCTGATGAAAACGGGTGCCCGGTTGACAATCATAGGTGACGCAATGGCCGACAAGGGCCGATCCAGAGAGGAATCTTTCCTCAGGATCAGATTAACTGGTACTGACAACCCGTTGTTAGGATTAGCACTTCTAGAACGTGCCAAAAAGTCGAACGGTACTTCCTTCATCGGAGACTGCAAAAAACATTTTGAATAAAAAAATATTTTCACTAGGCACAGGTTAAAAAAATACTGTTTCAATAATATGATTTCTAAGAATCTAAATCGTTTGATTCCGTCCTAAAATGTAGGCCTAGTGAGTTTATGTTCCCAATTTTCTACAAGAGCATCGGAAATATCGAAAGTATCGACTTCAGTATTTAAAACTTTTCCGTGCCAGTAAGTGACGTTACTTTTTTAAACCACCAAATACTGTATTTTATTCTTTTTCATGCGATACATAAACGGAGAACACCCTAACCTTCTCAGATTTGGATGGAACAGGAGGTAAATGCAATTTAGAAGAACGGGTCCGGGTCGGGGCAGAGTTCGACGCATTACTCGGAACCATCAATGAGGATTGGGGCTCCGATAGTTTGGCAATTGGCAATTTGAACTTGAATTGTTTTTCGTCAACTCTGTAAAAAAATAAATACACTTCAAAGTTGTAAATACGATTATTTCAATGGATGCCCGACAAAAATGCAAGGCAACTGAAAGTGAAATGACTGAAAATAGCGGAAAAAGAAAATCTCTACAATGATTAACATTTTTAATTTATATTTTGGTAACATCTTGAAACATACTGTACTGTACTTGCCTCCAACTGGGACTAGTTAAATTCTGCCCATCTACAACAGTTCCTGGCGAACTTTTGCTCTTCTTCCTCGACATTTTCTGGACTTTCTTGTCGATTCTTTTAACCACTTCAAGGTGAGATTCAGATCCAACTCGCGCTTCAGTGGCCAAATGACTTCCTTCCTCCAAAGGTACAGATTTCCGTCGTTCTTTCACTGTTATCCCAATCGTTGGAGACGGCACGGGCGTCGCTGAACCGCTCCCGAAATTGTCATAAAATGTCAAGTCTTCTTCGTTGACTGTGTTTAGTGGGTCATGCGAAATGTGAAGAACTGATCCAATACCAACAGGCTCGGCCCCTTTCTCCGCATACATAGTGAGAACGCTTTTTAGCTGCGGAAGATTACGGTCAATTTTAGTTTTATTTCATGTTCTAACGACCGAACATCAATTCACGTGATAATATTTCACTACAGAACACAAGTAATTACATCACGCATATTGAGTCGTCCAACTTCAACGATTTTACTTTGATTTAAAATACTCGTGCATCGGTGTATGTTCTGTATGAAAAATTTGACAAAACATCACAATAAAACCTAACGAAACGTAGAATGATTCCTTCCACACACAGTTACCATAGGAGAAAACCCCGACGTCTAGTACGTCAGACGAAAGGACCTCAGTATCAGTAATTTAATCCTCATCGTCACAAAAAATGAATAATAATTCTACTAACTTGATCGGCGACTGCATCCCAGAGAGAAGCCGCAACCAGTTCCGTAACCCGTTTTACAGAGGACCCTAGTCTGTAATCTCTTGATTCCAACGATCTGGACATCGGAAGTGCGACAGAGTTGGAAACAATCCCGTCTTCAGCAAATGTTTCTTCATTCTCAGGGGTATCTTGAGGATCTTTGCGCAACCGTGGAGGTGGTTTTGCAAGCACTATCTTTGTACCCATCAGTCTAAAATTTTCATATAAAGCCAACTCAATAGACGCACAAAACCACGTTTTCTATTCGGAACAAAGGCTTTATGCTTGTAATTCCTTCAATGTAAAAATTGAAATTGCAAATGAAAATATTACGGAGAAAGGATGCGGTGGAATTTTACGTACCTCAAGTGCGGAAAATGAGTTCGCCAGGCGTCCAGTTCTTCGCGAAGGCCCGGGAATCGTGTCATCGGTGTGTCGTCGTATAAGTAGTCTTCAACTTCGTTCCACATCTCTTGCAATTGTTGTGTGGACTCCTTTTCCAAATCCTGGAATAGAATAATCCCAGCATCTCAGAAAAATCAATTTACAGCAGCATTTAATGAAAAATGAGAGAAATTACACAGCACATTCGAGGTGAACAGACTTTAAATATGAAAAGATTATGAAACTTGGTACTTGGTGAAACAAATAAATTCAAAAAAATAGCAGGGTCAAATTGATTAAATAAGTTCAAATACTCACGTCTTCAATCCAAGACATCGAGGACACCGTTCCGGAATTCGACAGCCACGACATGCTGCTACTGCTGCGAAAACTCATCGCCTCCTCACTCGACCTAGAAAATTTTTAAATATGTGTTCGGCATCAAAAAATACGCATTTTTCTTAAAAGGGACACTTACATTTGAGGCGGCATCGGAGATTTCGACCACATCGTCTCTGGAGGATCGGGAGGGGGAATATGAAATGGCACCTTCAGTTTCCCACTTCGCATTCGCGCCATGCTCATCAATCTCTCTACACACTGTCGATTACAACGCAGTAAATACCACTCGGAACTTTCAAATCGTAAGATTCATCTGGAAGGATACCGAAAGAAATTGAAACACATAAATTCAATATTCCACCGACGCACGGAGACTTATTGTCACAGTAAAAATGCATTCGATTTCTCAGCTGGAACTTGGATCCGCTTTCTCACTGGAATCCTCAACAGGCAGTTCCAAGATTTTCACGCAGGCGGAAGCACGTTCGAATAATATGACAACTTCCACGTGTTCAGTGTATGGGTACAAGTCAATGGGGACGATTTTCGTCGGCAAAAATGGTTCTCCCGGGTAATTGCCCGACCATTCCCTGCCCAGATCAATGAAATTCTGCGTCGCGCTTTTCGGATCGCATGATACGTACACAATTTTTCCGATGTCTTTTTCTCGCCTCAGAACACTGATGACCTTTCGATCTGTTGACAAATGAAATATGCAGAGGTTTCAAAACATGAAAATTAGACATGTGAAATTGACCGAAAAATTAGGAACGGAACGTGCGAAGGTTTGAATTTCCTTCGCTCAAACCAGGGCATGTTCAAAGTCCAAAATTACTCGAATAAAAAATGTCAGAGAAATATTTCAAGACACAATACCCTTGTGGCACACTTCGGAATTTTCCGGTTCTAACATCAATTCCTGCACGATTCGCCTTACATCTGGAACACTACCCTATACACTCGTAATTAAATTAAACTGGCTTGATCGAAGTTTATCCTAACAATAGTAGTTCCGTGCGGAAAACATTGGTAACGTTTGGACTTCTACGGGTTTGAGGAGAACAAAAATCATGAAATACACGTGGAAAAGTCGTTTAAAACACAAATGGACGCGTCAGTGGCCGCTTTCAATATAAGAGAAGTCCGTGAATATTATGCTGAACGAAAAAAATCGGTATCACTTACGAAGGCCAGCTCGAGGAGGATCGACAATCGCTACGATGTTTTTCGATCCATTTTCACCAGCACCATAAATGTTGAGCTTCTTGAGCAAGCCACAAATAAGTTCTTCCGCTGAACCAGCGATGAAGTCAACTTTCGCTGCCAAGTCATTCACTTCTGCGTTATGCTTAGCATCTTCGATGGCTTCCGGAACAATGTCTACTCCGACGACTTTCACACACGAATCCGCGGCACACAACCCAATAGTTCCCGTACCACAGCACACATCAAATACGTAAGACTCAGTAGGGCGGAGATCAGCCACTTTGAGAATTGTGTCGTAAAGCACCTCAGCGCCATACGTGTTGCACTGACCGAATAATGTTCCGTTAAGGTAATAAATGTTTCATGCTATCGAGTGTATAAAATATTCATCTCACCTGGAAAAAAGATTTCGGTGAAATTCGAAACTTTAATCCCCGTATAGTTTCGGCCACGTATTCTTCACCGAAGATATGGGTCACGTCGGATGCGGGATTTTGACGAGCATTTCCATTTTCTCTGTCGATGTTCCTGAAAGAAAATGAAAAAAATTCGAACACGAAAATTACCTTATACGATTTCATGACAGTACAGCATAAAGAAGAAAAAGGCGGAGAAATTGTCGAAATGGAATAGTTTCAGTTTCTCATACACCCACATTCGTTGATTTGATGATTCTTAAAAATGCTAGCATGAAAAGTAAAACAAACCCATGGGAAAAGATGTCCAAAAATACGGATATTTTTTCACATGAAAATGATGGGATGAGCAGATTCGAAGTTTTTTCAGGCAGATGTGAGAGAATAAGCATTTCAGACTTTAGTCGCTAACTTCTGTCAGTTAGAAAGTATCAGTTCTTCTTTTAATAAACTGATGATGAATTACGTCGGGTTTTAGGCTCACAGGAAAACAGTTAATCAATAAAACAGAATTCCTTAAAATGCACTACAGACATTTTTACGTACCGTCGACCTTCATCCTTCAAATAAATGGACTTCACGCAGCTTTCGAGAGCGGGATCCGTAAGGCATTTGATAACATCAGCTTTCAACTGGTCCATTTCGACCGGGTCCAACTGCTGCCGATGAAGACCAATACACGCCATTGCATCACCATTTCTTGTAGTTCGAAGCATCAACGTTCTCCAATAACCCGAATGATCCACGGGGTTGTACGGTAAATAAGGGGATTTCTTGACGAAAATGTCGAAATGCTGGGAAATAAAAATTAACTCTTCATAATTACTCTTGAAGGAATAATGAATCTTTTCATTGCATACTGAGACAATTTTCTTCATCAGATCAGATACTTGAGCGAGATGTCCTATTTGAGCTACTCCAATAGACCCGGCCTTGTAACTAGACAGTCTGAACCCAACTGATGGTTCTTTCGTGACGATATCTGGACCTGCACACATAAACCTGCGAGATTACAAATCTGAACTTCGATATCTCGACTTCAGCGAGTTCAAGTGCAGAACTTGATGTACTTCAAGTAAGGGTTCGTAAATTACATTCAAACAGTAGATTAAAATACTTATTCATGTGCTCCGATCGTGATAAATGAAACCGCTGACGAGAAATAATTGCAGAATAATTTGGAAATCAACGTGAACGGCAAATAATAGTCATGGCATGCTGAAGGCATGCAAAGGACAGTACAATACTCTGACTTACCAATGGTGAATTCACATTTATTCCTGTAGCCATCCTTTACAGGAGATGCCAAACAAGGGTCAACATCGCAAAAAATTCCTCCGTGTAACTTCTTCTGCTCCAAAATCCAGCTCGTCAAGGGCTCATTAACTTTCAACAATTGCTTTCCCAAGTTCTTCACGACAGCACAAACCGCTTGACGTTTCTTTGAACACTAAAATCCCGAACAGTTAGGAATCTTTCGGGGGAAGGGGTTTAAATCACGGTCAACGAAATTTCGAACCTGCTCATCATCTGATTCTGCGAACAAAGGAATAGTCTGTTTCTCGATCGCGGATTTCGCTTCATCTTCGGTGAAAGAGGCAAATTGTCCGCTCTGCAATGTTTTCTTCACATAAGGATCTGGCGCAGCAGAACTTTTCTGAGAACATAAGAAGGGCCAGCTTGATACGCGAGTATTTCTCAATATACTCAAGGAACGTACAAAAGCAGAAAGTTCATTCTTCTTCCACTTGAAGCCGTTCAATTTACTTATTCCCTCCAGACGATCATTTTCATTTTTGAACGCTATAAATATAGCAGTCGATTTTGGTCCCAGTGGTTTGAGTTTGTGAGGATTTAGATGCAACGTTTTTTGCAAAAGCTTCTTGAATTCCTGGATAATAGTAAATTCGAATCGTCACAATAAATGCAACTAGCACAAAGCAACATCGGCTAATATCTCTGACCCCGAGACCATAGTACTTCGGCAGACCTCGAACTTCGATCTTGAAAGACTCCGACGTAAACTCCTGCCTCTTTGTGTACGCGTACAGTTCCTCAGTTTGCTTCACATTTTCACTCGCCTGATCAACTTCCATTATGGAGAACGCGTTTCGCACACCACATGGAATTCGCAAATCTTCCACGCACAATCAAAAAATACCAACTGTGTACAACGCAAGCAACCTATTCGTGACGCCCAGTTCCAGTACAACTTCTAGAGAGAACCGCTCTATTGGAGGCTTCCGTTTTCACCCCACACTTGCCAGCGCCTTTCTCTCAGAGCCACCAGTGGCTTTTCGTGAATGACTTCAACTGCAATGATTCAAGGATATGATTCTGGGAAGACTTCTATGCCTTCTGGGGCAAGAAAGATGGCGCATTTTTCAGAAAAAATCCAAGTAAATAGCACATTAGAGGTGACGTTATTTTAGGTTTCAATTAAATACTGCAGAACAATATACATTATTGTCTTCCTACAACAATTTCACCATGAAATTTTTGCTCAAGGGCATGCGCTATTCATAAAACCACTCAGTAATGTCCTTGAGAGGGAGAGAGGAAGAGAGCAGCCTCCTAGCAAATTGGAGTACAAGTGAGCGAAGATGAGTTGAAATCTCTAAGCACCCGAAGTACGAGTTCGCTCCACTGCGTTGTGGGTGTCCATGATGGTCTCAACCTACGTATGCGGTACCTGCGCTCTTAACATAGAAGAATTGTAGAAGTACCACAATTGGAGGTCAAACAGTATTACAGTACTGTACTGTAAAATGAAAATATTAAGATTTTGCCATCATCAAAGCAATGCTATAACACGGCTTCATTATTTCAGCGGCATCATATTATGTATAGTATTATAATACAGATGTATTTAATTGACGCCATGCTATGATCGTACAGTTAACTATATATACCCTTTGAAAAAATCATCTTCCAGAAAAGTTTTCACAGTGAAAAAATCGGATTTTGGGTTCTGAAAATTTGTGACTGATGGAAGTACAGTACAGTAAATAATTTCCTGGTGATGGACAACCCTTCATAATATCCAGCTAAATTAAAAACACAGTATAATAGAAGATGTAATAAAAAGACCAAACGTGGGCATCAAGAAGTCTTTTTAGTGTACAATACATAAAATACCGTACATAAAAATGTTAGAATTTTTCAGAAATGAAGAGGCGCTAAAAATGTCGATCCGTTACTATCAAAAAAATGGATTAAACTTCAAACCAAATTCCCTTCGAGTTGAAAAACAAGACAGAAATTGTCGTCGCAATACATACGCTGTGGAAAACATGCCAGCGGTGCGTGCTGGAATTTCATGGTTTTATTCTCCCGCTCAAAACACTGCTTTTCTTCTGTTATTGCAGGTGTAACAAAGCATGCTTTCTTCTCTTGTTTTTCTGTAACGATTCACCATTGCTTGACCTGGTAAGCAGCAAGAGTATCGTCATACATTTTTTGTTCATTCGTCAGTCTTCTACGCAGTAAAATAAGGCGAAAAAAATCGGACTCCTTCGCGATAAATAAGCTAGATGCTCTGAGTTTGCTGCACCATTCCCAGTCGACTAGTGCTGTTGCACGTATATAATAAGACACCATGTTGATAGTGTTTCTCGGATTAATCTGTGCTCTTCATAGTCACAGAACCAGTGTCACTTGGGCTTCTGTGCCAGCAAGTGACATGTACCCGTCGACGGGAACGAGTCTGCCCCCTTGTCTGGACTGCAATTCCGCGGAGATATTTTTTCCGACGCCGTTCTACTATTACAGCAAACCCGTACCATCCTGTTTCGTCAACAACAATGGCGGTATTTCGTTCCTTACTGCTCGTCTGCCGGGGTTTCAAACCGAATGCGATTCAACGTCCAGATCGAAAGGCTTGCAACTCATCGCTCCTTTCTGGGCTAGATCAAACACCTTCTTGGGTGGAGGAACCAGTTACTTGAATACTCAGAGCCCGAGTATCTTGGAGAAGGCCAAAAATGACGTGTCAGCTGCTTTTCCTGGAGCCAGTGGTGAGTTTTAATGAAATTACTAACACATATAGTATTTTAGCATACTATTATATATATGCTTTTAAATATTTGTATAGGACACGATGTCCCAAAATCGCGTTACCTTTAATCACTTCCAATATAACCCATCATTAATGAAGTACGTTATTATTTTCTCATTGAATTTCCACCTGCTTTGTAGATGAAATATATATAACTATTGTGGATAAATTTGAGTTCATATATATATATATATTTATATGCTGCGAGCACGAATAATGCATCAATAAGTAATAATTGATCATTTATTTTATCAAAATTTTAAATAAATCATTTTAGCAATATTTTAGATCAATTATTTTAGCAACATTTGGAAATACAGTATATTATTCTTTACGAACTTTTAAATGAGATTATTTAGCAAAATGTTGGATAAATTATTTCGCATATTTTTATATACGTATATTTTGAATAAATTACTTAGCAAATTTAAGATAAATTATCTTCACATATTTTTGATTAATTATTGTTTCAACAAAATTTAAAATACATTATAAGCAGTATACTCATTTAGCAAAATGATTGATGTATCAATAATATTCATAATTTGTAGCTTTTAATTATCACGCATTTTCAAATGGCAGCTGATGTATACCAGCAATACAATATTTAGCATATAGCTTATTATTTATATATTAAATTAGTCCTTGTCTTTTCAGCACCTTGTACTGTGTATACGTCCCGTTTCAAAATATAAATCCAGCTATAAAGATTGATCTTCAAAATTTATTTTTAAAAAGCATTAAAATTGATCTCCATAGAAAAAGTCAGCTGTACGCTGAGAACTTTTATTCCAACTAATTCAGGACACCTTTTCTCTGGAACAGATTGAGTTATTTAGCAGTAAAGATCCCCCAAATTGTGTGCCAACAGCATAACCTGATTATTAAAATGGCTCATTAAGGTTTTCAATGGAATTATTGTAACGTAATTTTTTCGGCTAAATGTAATTTGTGAGTATGCCTTCAAACTAAGGTTATCCTATCATGCAGTCCTTATGCATTCCTTTGCTTTAATTCAATTAATTGAACTAACATGTTCAATTTACAATAAAAATCCATGACTTTGCGCATTCCAGATTTTTTATTTATTTTAAAGTGAGAAATTGTATTGTGAAATCTGGAGAATGACGCCATACGTGATGGAGTTTCTTTCTTTTTTTTTTACCATTAAATAAGGTTGTCTTTTATCATGCAGTCCTTATGAATTCCTTTGATCTAATTGAACTGAGATGTCCAATTTGTAAAGAAAAATCCATGACTTAGTGCGTACCCGATTTATTAATTTATTGTTAAGGGAGAGATTTCACAGTAAAATCTGGAGAATGACGCCAAGTGTGATGGAGTTTCTTTCTTCTAGAGGGGATATATACGAATAATATACATATACAGTATGAATGCAGTATTTTACAGTATACTTCCATATTTCAGGATACAATTTCCGATGGGCACTTGTGGTGACATGGAGCCAGGTTCCGCCTAGTGTAGAGATCGCATCCAACGGCACCAGCAGTCCAGGACCAGTTCTGAACAGGAGCAGCACTGAGGGGACCAACACATTTCAGCTAGTTCTGACCACTGATGGAATCAACTCGTTCGTCATCTTCTATTACAACAAAATATTCTGGACAAAAGCCACGAACGCGCTTTTCTATGCCAGAGCTGGGCTGGTTCGGTATGACGGAATCGCAGACTACAGTTTCAATATGGCTGGATCTTGCACCGCCGCAATTGCAGGGTGAGACACATGCATGCAGTACTGTACTATACTACAGTACAATACAGCTGATGCATACTGTACCCTTACTATGTAACCATATTTGTTGAGCACCACGCACCCATTTTTTTTTAGCAAAATATCAAAGTAGAAATGTGGGGTGCTCCAGGTACGCGAATTGTCTGCAGATATAAAAAAATTAGGAAATTTGGGAACCATAATTGCTTCTATACTTTTTAGGTGCAAAAAATTAACAGCGAATTTTATTTGGCTCAAATTCAGTTAAAATTATGTACAGTGTACCTATATAACGTGTATATACGTCTCCTTTTTTTTTCAAAAACTAAATTATCAAATGATTAAACGTTTATCAAATATACAATCACAACAATTGTGACACTTCTGGATTTTAAAGAGCCTTTATTCAAACCTTTCTTCCACTTCTTATCCTCGTTGCATTCTGGAACAAACGTTTTCTTATCCTTCAAATCGTCTCTCATATCCTGTATGGAAGGTGAAACATGTTTTATTTTTTGATTGTGCTATATTAGTTATTATTGTCACACGCCCCATTATATTTGACCTTTTTTGTGAGAGATTTTTTAAATCAAAACTTTTTTTCGTTGAATGAATTGATTCATCAGCACTGCTGCTTCTTGTTCTGTTTCATGAAGATATTCAAGTATTGAATCTTACATGTCTGAAAAAAATCGGCGGAGGGAGAAACTCATCGTTATATAGGTACCTGATATATAGTACAGTAATAGGAATCTATCTTGATTAAAATTCAGTGCGAATAGTGTACATAATTTCCTTTATATATGATCGAATTATACTGTACCAGCATACAAGCAGGCGCACCTTAAGTGAAAAAAATACTCGAAATGGCAGGTACATTTGGTGCTCATTCGAGAAAAAAAGGATTTCAATAAGTACTGCACGACAGTCTTCATTGAAAGCTTCAAAGTCAATTCTTGTTTTATTTTCAATGCCGCGATGAATGCTGAACAGCGTTGCGGACGGATCGAACATCGGTTCCCCCGGAAAGTACGTATTCCAAGTAGACTCGTCGGCTGTCGGGCAGAAAGGTGATTGCTCAGGATACAACAACAACCAGTTGTCAACGTCCATTTATCCGTCGAGTGTTGGGTTGTACGGCGGCGAGTTGGTAAAACTGTCGGGCGCCTGCGTGGACGCTAATAAGACGGCCCAGTGCGCCATCGACGATCCTAGCTACGCTGGGCTTGTCTACGGCACTGCGGAAGCCGTTAGCGGGTGAGTAGTGACATCTGTGGTACGATTTGACGAACAAAAATAAAACGTTTTGAAATCGGTACAACGGGGTTGCTTTAATAAGTTTAGAAATCGATTTACGTTGAAAATTTCGTTAAAACAAATTCGTTTTGTTCAATCTCCGACAAATGCAGAAAGCAGCAGTATTTTTTAGGCTCTTTACATCGAATTTCTCGTTATAATGATGGGGTTTGCCAAGCACTTTATTAGGCATTTTCCTTGTTGAGTGATTCCACTTCGACATTTATGTACTTAGTCTAATTTCAAGGGACCAGCATTAAATATTTTACTTATGATAGAATCAAGCATTTTTATTTTGGGAAACATTGAATAATGGCACTAAATTGTAAATGGTGATCTTCTGGGCCTTAAATTGTTTCTAAAACAAGTTGACAGGGTGCTGAAGTTGGAGACAAGGGTTCATCTGCCGGATTTAGTCTGTCACATCCTTTCAAAGCACATCACATTCTGCTTCTTTGTTGCAAAAAAAAATACAAAGAACACCGGAAAGTTAAACTCTGTCTGAGAAGTAAACTTGCTTTTCTGATTTCCATCAGTTGGCCGTCGAAAACCTGATTTTCCTTTTCCTTTTTTTTTATATTGCAACAATCATGTGGATTCCTGCACTAAAAAGGACTGCTGTGACCTGCTTGACCCCGATTCTGTTCCGCGTTGGCCGTGTGGACATTTACTTCCGGTTCACCGCCACAAATGGAACTGTGGACACTGTGGTGAAGCCCATTTTCCTCAATGAACGTCCTGAAAGAACTCTGACCATTGGTGAGTTAGAAAAGAAAAAGGCGAAGAAACCGGACTTGATTTAGTCAAAATAACAAGAATTTATAATGGACAAATGACGGTTTCTGCCAAGCAACTCAAGTTTTTTTTTCAAAGACCGGACAAAATTAGGAGTAAGAATTCAATGATTTTTAAATTTATCCTGAGAAAATTTCCAACAGTGTTGCGTTTCTTTTTTGGACAGGAATTTTCAAAATGTTTGGCATACAGTTGAATTTTCCGACTGAATCTTACAGGGACTCTGAATCGGTGTGCTTTTGATTCGCAGGATTTGACCGTCTGCATTATTTATTCGATTAAACTTATTTTCTGGCATAATCGTTGAGAGACTTTATCATGCTCAAATGTCCCATCTCTGAAAGGATATTGTAAAATTCCTTGCAAAAAACATTACAGTGTACTACTGTACACTGAAAAATTTCATGTAGATGGATCAGACATTCTGAAATTTAGCCCAAGTTGAATAATGCACAGGGCATAACAAATTTGACCAAATTTATTCAGAGTCAAACACATTTTGAGTTAGGGAGGGTTGAAACCCATTGTTCATATGATAAAATGATTGGCCAAGTAGATTATTCACTCTATAGAAAATTGGGTCTAAAACAGGCGGTAAATTCAACCCAAATCCATTGCTGGACAAGGGTTGAATTGCAAAGCAGTCAAATTGCAGGACAATTTGTAAAATTAAGAAATATGAGCACAAAAAGGCAAAAAAAGGGGGCCAAAGCAGGTCAAATTCTGGGGCAGAGGTTGAATTGCAAGTCAACCTCCCTGCAAAATTTAACCATCAAATTTCGGGGACAGTTGAATTGCAAGGTAATACCACCTGTATAAATGTAATTGTTTGACTCAAGGATGGGTTTCGACTAAGAGACTATAGGAACTGCTGTATTTGAACGATTTAGCGTCATGACAGTTTTTTTTTTTCGTTTCTCATCTCGATTTTCTCTCTTTTGAAAAAATGGAAAAAAAAATTACGAAATAGCTAAGCGACTTGTTGGCAACACTATCAACTGCGACATTAAATGGGACTCGGCGTGGTTCGACGGGAATAATACCGTCGAAATCATCCACCAGCCATTCGACGCAGCAAAGGCCCCGACAGTGCTCACCACTGTCGCCAACACTGGCTCAACGTCCATCGACGCGTCGACCTTCTACACCAACACTTCCACTTTCATCGGTGACGTCGGGGTTCGCAGTTCCACGGGAACCCTGAGGCCCAGGGTTTGGGCCAACATGGAAGAGTTTTATTCCTTGTTCTGGCCCGGGGGATACGAAGCTGATTGCGTCACATTCAAGAAAAATGCGGATATGCCGTTCCAGTCGCTGTCATGTCCGCCAACTGAACAACAGGCTATCACAGACCCCAGGTTCCTCATCGATGAAAAGGCCCCGAAATATTATCATCCCGGAGCAAAGAGTTGCTACAGGTACGGTATACAGTATTGCAGTGTGTTGGGCACAAAATTAATTTTCAAAAGTTAGATCCAGCATCATATATATATTGTTATCTAAGAAAGAGGAAATCCGTTTTTTATAAACTATAGATAAGTTTCATTATATTTGTAGCACAAGATAATCACAACACAATACAAGACCACAAAAGTACAAACACTGAGAAACTTTGCCCGGTGCAAAGTTTCGAGACTAACAACTGGCCACAACTGAGTTAGATCTAATGCCAGAAAAATATTTCTGGCTCTTTTAAATACTACAGGCAATTCTGCCAATGTGATATAAGGAGCACAAGGGGAGGAAGTGCCAAAGCTCTGAGACAAAAGATATGGTTATCTTTCCACACCAAGGTTTGAAAAGATGACCAGACTTTTGGCATGATTTGAGGGACACAATCTTTCCTAATACTCATTGCCTGACCAGTAAGATAACTCTGTGGGTTAACCACAAAGTTTTAGGGAGCCATTCTTTAGGGTTACAATATATAGACAAGCTGCTAGAAAATTAGGCCTACCATATTTACATCAGTATCACAAGCGCCTTTTCCTCAAAATTGGGAGGAAAAAGGTGTATGTACATGATAGGTGGGTATATACAGTATTCATTTATGTTTATAAGTTCAGGTGTGCATTATATACAGTACTTCATTAAGATAAGTGAGATTCCAGATCAATTTGAACAGATAAATGAATTGCCATGGAAATACAGTTGAACTTCTTTGAGTCAAATTTCTAGGCACCAGCAAAAAAATTGACTTACAGCAGAGGTTTTGAATTTTGAAGGTTTCCAGTTAAGGAAATGCACATTTTTCTTGCAAGGAGAAGTAAAAAAAAATTGCGGGAAATTGTAAATGAGGATATTCTGGTCCTAAACGTGCTCCTTCATACAAGTTTACACCTTCCTGAACTTTGAGGCAGGCGGGGTTCATGTACTCTATTCATAGTCTTTCACCTCCTCTCAATATGATGCATCAAATCAGTTGTTTTAATTTTTTATCTTTCATATTTTGAGGAAATAACCAAATGAATAGGCCTAAGAAAATTTGACTTACAGCAAGGTTTTAGAGAAAAAGACTTTGAGTTTGGGAGGTTTTTAATAATGCATTGATTCTAAGAGAATTCAGACAGGGACTTAAAAAAAATGTGACTTCAGGAGGTTTGAAATATTGATGTTCAATCCACATAACTGTGATCAAATACAGTATTAGTTGAATTTGGGATCAATTCATCTTTAAATTCAAATTTAGTGTTCTGATTTGTAAACCATAGCAGTTTTAAAGTAGCAATAAAAGGGATCAATATCCCTACTGGAGATACTATTTTATTATTAAAAAATTCAACTAAAAAATCTGGATGCGGGTCTCAATACTCAAGGGCGCATATATTGATACTTCAGAAAATTATATGGTATATACACTAAAGACTGCATAATGCACATACCGTATGTCAATAGTCTTATAAATCAGTTTCAAAAAAGACTGGCGTTGTAAGGGTTTTTTTTTCTTGATGAGGGGCATCATAACATTTCCCACTGGAATGACATATCTATACACTCTATAGAGCACGTTCGTAACATGAGGACTTCACTGCTGGTGTTCAATATTTTGTTTGTGAGGTAATTCTTCCAAATAAAACGTCATTCATGAAATTGACATTACAGCACAAAAGCCTCGATTCAATTACAGTTGAATAATTTATTTTCTCATATTTTATGGCGTTGTGAAAATATACTCTTGTCTCCATTGTGCGGTTCAGCTGCTTTTCTGCAAAAATTAGAATTTATCCATGCTGACAACGAGCTGAAGATGATGGATAAAAATATGAAGCTTGGAGAATTTAAATACTGTATAAATCAAAAGGGTTGTTAAATATAATTTCAGTTTAATTGGGTGAAAATCTTTTGTATTTTATAAAATTGACCTAAAATTCACTGGTATACCACATTCTAAATTATGATTTAATAAAATATAAATTTTATGATGCAAAAAGAATAGCAGAGTTCCCTTTGGCATGGAAGCAAATATTTTGTTTCACCTCATTGCTGTGTAAAACATTATCTCATCTACGCGAGATTTAATCTTAAATAATTCTTAGGATTCATTCCTAGCTCATTGATACCAGCTGTCACGTCCATCCAAGAGTGCTGTTATAACTCATCAGGCCCCATCATCTGCAACGATCCACCAAATGGCGGCACAAATAAAATGGTCACACCAAGGAGTTACTATTGGTTGCATTTCCAATTGGATATCATCCCATACTACATGTGCTGCGAGAACGATAAAATAAGCCAGGCAGCAAATGCAGAACATTGCAGGGGGTACTATGAAAAGAGGCCCTCTGACTGTGGCCAAAACTACCGACCTCGATCCGGACCTCCGTACTTACCCCTGGGCGTATAGCGTTGGAACCTACCTGACGTCATGTGGAAGTTACCGTTTCCCCTTATAGTAGACGACTTCCCCTGACTAACGGTTTAAGTCCAGTCTGTGTACTAGATTTTTTTTGGGCACAATACAGTATCATGTGAATAATCATTTTTAAAGTCATAAAGAAAAGAAGGTGCAGTATAAATACAGCTTTTTTGAACTACTGGCTCTTGAACTATACTAGTATTCCATTTTGCTGATGCTGGAGGAATATTTCAATATGATTTTGGCCTGATATATTGTCTCACTTTCAGATATAGTTACAGCAAAATTATGTGCCTCATAATTTATGACAGATCCACGCTCATCAGCACCCATGCAGAGCATTTCCTTTTCTCTAAAAGATAATATTTTCATTTTCTGGCTTTTATGTTATGCAGGCATGCTGTATTCAGCAAATTTGGCAGATACATTTTTACAAAATTCAATTATCTTGACCAGTCGGTGTTTTCAATTACTTAACAGGAAAACAGGGGGCACCTCTGCAGCAGCACACTTCAATTGCTTAAAAAATGAACTACAGTATTTAAAACCTCATTATATTGGTACGAATTTAATTCATCCAAGGAAGCTTACAGAGCAATGAAAAAAAGTAACATAATCGTTATTTTAATAATGTTAAATAAGTAAACTTTTAACTTTTTTAATTAAACTCGGAAGTATCTTCAACAAGCACTGTAAACCTACCTAGTTATTTTTCAACTTATCTTTTATTCTTCAAATCCCTTATTTTTTTCAGGCGAGGTTTGGGAACACTGCGGCCATTTCAACAGCAACGGTGATCACGGCCATCTCCTTCTCATGCAAAAGCATACCCAAAGTAGTGGTGCATTTTGAGCCATCACCAGATGGAACAAACATTAAATTTTACACCAAAGATGGGAACGAACTCGGCATAACTCAAACAACGGCTTTGGCTCCAAATCTCACCATTTCAAAAATTAGCTCGGGATCATACCTGATATCTGGTCTAGATGTTGACTTGGAAGCTGGACTCGCAGGTGGGGCCATGTGGACCAATGCCTTCGTTTCCCAAGCTCACAAAGGCAAGGGCGTTGTCAAGGGGTTACTGGGAAACTTTGATGACGACCCCAGCAATGATTTGAAGCCAAGAACCGGCAATGCTCTGAGTGCTTCAGCAGGTTCGTCCCGGAAGAATTAATTTTATTTTTCATTAAATTGCTTTACGCAGTACATAAATGTAAAAAAATGTTCCAGAATTGCATCATAATTTATATACCGGTATTGGTCTCAAGATTATCTTTGAAATAGATGAATGCAGATGACGGAATACAGTAATCTCATTCGATTTTCTGACTCATTTATGCTCAAATTCAACTCACGTCAATTTAAATGGAGACAGATAATTGATACTAGCACAGATGTATGGTAGCAATTACAGCTAGTAAAAAACCAAGTTTCATGAAAGAATATCATTTTTATATCTAATTAATTTTAGTTTGCCTATACTACAAGCCAGCTTCAATAACAACCATCTTCCAATGAAAAAGTACTGTAATCAGAGAAATAATACACATGAATTCTCTTCAAAAGGACTTTTTCCTGGTCAATTGAATTTCCTTGTAGGCAGAGTCAAGGGATCAGGACCAAATTAAAGAGTCCATCACAAAAAATGCATAGTAGAATGTAGTAAATATTCAAGAGAATACAGATTACGTGTTCAGTGAAATTGCATTACTGTATTTACTGATTTCAGAATAAAATTGCGAATATCTTCTTTCCAAACATTCCAATGTAGAGAGAATTTAAGTTGCAAAGAATCCAAATAAGATGGAGAGAGAACCCCATGGGACGAAACAAATTTTACAGCGAGAAAGTAATTGTAGAGAGAGGCTACCAGGTGTATACAGAATCAATTGTTGAATCTTTGTCACCTTGAATTTGTTATTAATGCAGCAATTTCAATAGCCATTGAACTTGGTTTACCAAAAGTACGAGCAGGTATATTGGCAAACTTTTCGAAGAATCAGTCGCATATCTCATTCATTTGCGTTCCACGCTAAATTGTGCAAGATAAAGCACTTTATTTTTTCGTGATAAATTTCAAAAATTCCTTTTCGACTTGAACGAATTTTCAGATGAAGGATGCTGCGTCATGTTTTTCCTTGCGAAATTCGGGGGAGACTTGCTGCAGAATACGCTACATAATAATTATACAATTCAATTTTTATTGGGGAGTTTTGCCTTGATAATTTTTGTAAAAAAAAGGAATTCCTTTTCGAGGTCATGGCCTAAAATAACCATCAGCATATTTTTCAGCTTTTCGTACACTACAATTTTTCTACGGCACAGCTTTATTTTTTTTTAATTTTCAGGCCCCAATAATAATGATTTCAATGAAGGACAATTTTACTGTATCATGTATTATAGATATGCAAAGCATCCATTACAACTTTGGCGAGTCCTGGAGAGTGACTTCAGGGGAGTCCACCATGGTCTATGTTCTGGGGATGACCTACGAACAAGCAAACGATGCTTCATCATTCACACCCACCTTCAGTGTCCCGGACAAGTCCACCTTCTCAGCAGAAGTTCAGCAGGTCTGCGAGGACAACGAAGCCTGCTACTTTGACTACCAAGTCAGCAAGGACTTGACCTTAGCTGCTGGCACCAAAAGAACCCAGGAAGCCTTCGTCAAAAAAACCAATGTTCTGTTCCAACAGGTCAGCTGTCCGGCACTGGCTGATCCAGCAAACGGACGCGTGAAAAGCACTGGCGTGTCCGTCGGCTCCACGGCCACTTACGCCTGCAACGACGGGTTCAACATTACCGGATCCGCGACTATGATTTGCAGGGCATCTGGAGCTTGGAGTGGCGAATCTGCTGAATGTTCGCCAGAAGATTCTGCGCTTTCCACGCGAAAATGGGATAATCTGAATGTTTGGCTGTACAGGGTGTTGGACAGACTGATTAATGGTCGCTCCGGATGAATTAAAAAAAAAAAATCTTTTTTCGGAGATTCGGCGCAGCATCACAGACGCGAATGATTAATTCGAAACGATGATCGTTGGCGCAAAGAACACACGGACGAACAAACATATTGCTGTCAAGAGAATAAAGCTTATGTCTGCAGTGAAATTGAAATTCTTCATTAATTTCAGAAGAAAATTATGATAAAGTTTTTTAAGCATTCAGAACATCACAAAATGTAATGGTAAAAAAAGGCATTCAGCAAAAAAAAAGGGACGAAACATGGATGAAGATAATTTCCTGTAATTAGCGGTTAACCTGATTTTCCAAGAAATTAAGCGGTTCCCTTCAATGAACATCATGCAAGATAATTTACTCAAGGTAATTGCCATTTATCCAACACATCCCAGACTACTTGAAGAATTTTCTTGACACAAATTTTTAGTGACATTGCCAACTTCTAAGTTTAAAAATTCCGGACGTTAAAACTACGATAGAAGTCGTAATTTTTGAAAATTTACCTGCTGCAGTTACCCTCTTAAAAATCGACGGACGACAAAAGCATACTTCTCGCCTATGGTTTAGACAAGTATACCACATAAAAATGAACGCTATCGGAACATTTTAGATTCACGGAGGATGTCGAGACCAAAAAATAGACAAAATAAATGTGCAGAATCTGGCGAACAAAGAATAGTTCATTTTCAACAGCAAATCCGAATCAGATAATACACCATATGAGAATTATAAAAAAATTATATAAAACGAAGTATCTAATATTTATAAAAAGAAGAAATGTTCGTTACCAAAGCATGCCTCGATCTTCAATGCCCCTAAGAAACAATCACGAACTTTACTGTTCCTCGTACAGCATAAATGATGTCAATCGCTGGGTTTGACAATTAACATCCTGAAGTAAAAAAAAAATGTAAATCAAATTCGAACCACGAAAAATCGAAAAATAAATCAATCCAACTTTTTACGGTATACAAAGAAAATCTTAAAAATGGCATGATATTCTGTCAAACACAGACTCGGATCGTATCATCACATATATCGGTAAAACATTTATATGTGAGCATACATTATTGAAACATTCAATAACAACTTACGACAAGCAATTTCAATAAAACAATATCAGCAACGAAAATCGTTCCTCTTCAACTAAGGCTTGAATTCAAGACAGAAAATTAAGGGAAGAGTATTTCAATTTCAAGTTTTCCACAACCAAAAGAGGTAACAAATTTTTTAATCTCATGGTTGCATTCAGCTTCACAGGATGCTACAATGCTTCAAAAAATGCAATGTAATTCAAAAAAAAATCTTGACTTCAGAAGATTATGCAGTGTACTTACCAAAAATATTTCGTCAGTTAAATCAGGGAAAAAAATCCAAGCTGTCAGACCTTTAATCAACACTATGCTTTTCACTGAAATATTTGTGCAACCTCATATTTGTTATGCAGATAAACTCCGGAACTGCGGCTTAAGTTTTCGTGAGCCTGACAATGAGAAAAAAATTGAATAACTAAAAATTAAATGCCATCAGATAAGCTGCTTTTCCTTTGAGGACGGAGGCGTTTAGGAACTCTACATTTGCTTAACCGTTTCAGTACCACAAATGGCGACATGCTTAGTGGCTGCGCTAACAAATTTTCTTTCGACTCCGGAATTGTTGATACCTCATTTTCACATTTGATAACTTCGGAAGTTTTTGCTGTTTCCAACGTATCACAGGAATCCGAAATCATTAGCTGTTCATCGTCATCGGATATCTGCATCGGTGAAGTTCCCATCACGGGTTCAGCGATTTCTGGCTTCGTTAAATTTTCTTTCGATTCGGAATCTTCTTCTCCTGTGTCTTCTTCTTTTTCTTCGACTTCCAAAGTACCGATGGGAAGGGGTTTTTGGTCTTCGTCGCTCAACGCATCAGCTTCATTTCGAGAAATGTCAATTTCTTCGACGAGGTTGATGCTGTCTTTTTCATTTTCCGTGGAGATCAATTCGTCTTCAACACTTTTAACTTCCTCATCAGCAGTGTCTGATGTGTTCGCGCACACCACAGATTCCTTGAGCTCAATTTTGTCACCATCTACAATACATAACAGAGGGTAGAGTTTTTCTAATGTTACGAAGCTCGACGATGATCTCGTAGAAAATGAAGAGTGAAAAATTCTTTGCTTGTGCGAGCAAGTAAAAAAAATAAAATGAAAACGCAAGAAAACCCAGCAATGCGTTGCGACACCCAACCACAGGTGGACTCTCTAAAAACAATTTCTCTCTATAACAAATTTTTGCCTCATAGGGTCTCTTCCCATGTTATTGGGGTTATTAACAACAAAATTATCTCTAAAATTAATTATTTTGGTCCCTTGAATTTCGTCGGAGAGAGAGTCCACCAGTATCACCAATTTAGAGGCTCTTTTACGATAGCATTACTAGCAATTTATAGAACAGTATTTCAAACCACAAAACTCGCCTAATCAAAATCGAATTTCTGCAAAAAGGATCTTCGTGAAAATGAATCGGACGTGTTTTAAATCTCTGGAGTACGTAGTTAGACTTATACAAAAAACAGGCTCGGAATCTCAAAAGAAAACTGGGTGTTACCTTCTTGAATATTTCCAGGTTTGTCAGCGGGGATATCAATCGGTAAATCCCGCAATTCATCCTGAACGGACAAGAGCCGCACTTTACATGGTGTCGGATTTCCTTTCGGTTCAAGTTTACCACCAGATTCCACGAGAATACGAGACTCCGGCATTTCTTCATCGTCTCGCGCAGTCGATTTATGCCAAATTTCGTGATCAAGAAGTTCTCTGAGAGAATATTAAAATTCAGTCAAAATTCAAAAATATCATGAATATATTTTTTTACAGACCTAAGGAGAATACCACGGAATGAACACTTGGAACACGGGTAAATGCCCATGGACGGCAATTTGTGATACACACGATGCATCAGCAAAGTAGAGTAGTTAGTGCCTAAAAACGGACACTCAGTACAACGCCATTTTATGTGAGATCCTCCTACAAGTCGACTCATTGGGCGATCTTTTTTAAAGGGCGCGTGCTAATGCATACTTTGGTTTTATTAAACAAGCAATTCTTAGGGTTGAGTGTCGAAAGTAGGGATCTTAGTAAGAACCCAAACGGGCGGCTGTCAACAGATGGAGAAGATGGTTTATCAATTTTCTTGACTCCGATGAACACGCGCTGGAACTGAGAAGAAATGATGCGAAATGAAGGACAAGGAAAGATACGAAAGACTAAGTATGGCAGCGCCTCACCTTCGTTGGATGTGCACCTCCTTTTGGTAGGATTCGGGTTAACCTGAGGATATAACATTCTCCTTACTCAATTGAAAAACTGCGAAATAAATCTGCCATAACAATCCAAAAAAGAATCGCAATGGCTTCGCAGAAGTCTCACTTCCAATTAATTATTATTGCAAGCTCACGTAGCCTGGGAAAAATTCCACCATTTTTTCCCCTTTGCAGGTAAGGGCATAAAATCATAATTAATTGAAATATATTCAGACAAAAAGTGAGAAACGTATTTATAGAATTTTCAGACGACTTTTTTAACCGCGTCATCCTTTTAAGGCCTTCCTCATTATTCAAAGTTTTTTTTCGGGCATTCTTTAGCAAAAAAAGAAGGCCTGAAATCCCTGTACTTCCATCAAAGTTATCATGAACTACCTCCATATTCAAAAAAATGTCCGGTTTCACCCACGCGGTTTAATTTTTGGGATTCTGTAAATGAGACACCCCAGAATGTCATTAAAAATGAAGACAAGAAACAGATTCTAAAAATGCAGTTATTTTATCGTTGGAATTTAAGTACGTATTTTTCAGTAAAAAAAAATGTAGAAAGGGAATAGGTTTCATCCTACCAAATGATAATCTGTAGGTGAGTCGCGGAACGTTTGAGAAACTCCTCGAATGAGAAGGTGTTTTCAAAAATTATCGGGCTTGCACAAGAAGGAAGATTAACCGATTTATTGCAACATTGTTACATAATCGAGAACTGTAAGCGTAATTCTAGTTCACTTAGGAGGATGTTCAGCTGAGTAACCCGCTAGAAAAAATTTCCCGCGCACGATTACGTATGAAACCAAAATAATTTGTTCGTTAAGAATCCCAACTCACAGCTTTCATCCCTAGAATCATTCTTGGGTTTAGGGCGGCTATCAACAGATGGAGAAGATGGTTTTTCAATTTTCTTGACTCCGATGAACACGCGCTGGAACTGAGAAGAAATGATGCGATATTAAGGACAAGGAAAGATACGAAAGACGAAGTATGGCAGCGCCTCACCTTCGTTGGATGTGCACCTCCTTTTGGTAGGATTCGGGTTAACCTGAGGATATAACATTCTCCTTACTCAATTGAAAAACTGCGAAATTCATCTGCCATAACAATCCAAAAAAGAATCGCAATGGCTTCGTAGAAGTCTCACTTCCAATTAATTATTATTGCAAGCTCACGTAGCCTGGGAAAAATTCCACTTGACTTTTTTTTCCTCTTCAAGTGAAGGCATAAAACCAGAAAAATTTGAAATATATTCAGAAAAAAATTGAGAAACATATGTCCTGGAATTTTCAGAAGTCTTTTTCAACCGCGTTATCCTTTTCAGGACTTCCTCATTACAATTTTTTTTGGGCATTCCTTAGCAAAACATATCATGAAATTCCTGAAATTCCGTAAAAGATATCATATACCACCTCCATATTCAAAAAATGTCCGGTTTCACCCACGCGGTTTAATTTTTGGGATTCTGTAATTGAGACACCCCAGAATGTCATTAAAAAATGAAGGCAAGAAACAGATTCTAAAAATGCAGTTATTTTTATCGTTGGAATGGGACGTATTTTTCAGTAAAAAAAAATGTAGAAAGGGAATAGGTTTCATCCTACCAAATGATAATCTGTAGGTGAGTCGCGGAACTAAACTCTTTGAGGAGCTTACTCTTCCACAAAAGTTTTTAATAGCCCGAACGTGTTCTTCCTTCTAATTGGCTAAATAACGTTGTAACAATGTATTAGCTCTTGACATTCGCATTAAGATCAAGTGAACGCGAATTCATCGAAATTGAAGCAAGAATTTCCACTTACCTCCTTGTTGTTCCATTATACGTTAGCGAATGAAAAGCGATTCCAGGTCGTGAGGTAATCGTTAAAGGCCTTCGAAACGAAAAACGAAAAAATTGACGTAAACAAGAATACTTTCTCGTATTTTTTCAAGAAGAATTTTACCTAAGTTGCTGCCCGATTTGGATGGCACCAGTGGGAGTAATCCTACCCTGCAAATATCACAAATATTGCGAAGATTTGTCACACAGTCGGTTTCAATTCAATTCGAACGAAGTACAGTACCTTCACTCTAAAATTAGTGTACCCGAATAAAACGCGCTATAGAAAGAGCAACTAAGTTGTACACCGGGCATGAGAATAAAATCAAACTTATTGGTTAGTACGTAAATTTACAAAGCTGTCTATGATGTCCGTTACTTCTTGATCCCAACAGGCCAAAGGCGCGCTTAAGTCGTTTTTAAAGTCTCAAAAGTTTAGAGTTAGTGCAGTATTTATAAAATAAAAATTACAGTACCCCGTATACATATATGAATACAGTATATACATTTTTTATCATTTATTGCAGGATGAACTGAACTCATTCTTCCGCTTGATATCATCTGAAGACTCTGAATCACCATTAGACACTTCCATACTTTACTTCCCGCGGAAACAAGACAACCTTCGCATTTCATGACATCAGCAATACAAAAAACAGACATGCATGGAATTAAACCGATGTTCAAGTCACAAGGCCTTTGTAACACGGAAGCTCTCCAACAAATTCTAATCAACAACCTCTTTCTAGCACCATTGACTGACTTTTACTCTTCCTTTTTATTTCCGTTTGTTTTTCCCATAGCTTGCTTCTTGTCTTCAAAAGCGGTTTTGCGCTTATGAGTGTACGTGTCCGCAAGCACGTGCTTGTAAAAATGAGCAGTGACTCAACGCAAACGGATGACACGTTTTCATATGGGCCATGTAACCAGAAGCACTCATGAAAGAACCGGGACACCACGAGCAATTCAACTTCGCAGTCACGCCGGGTCTCCAAGGTTTGCCCAACTCACTCGAAACTTTCGCAGCGGCGCTATCTACCTTTTCTACTGGTTTCGACAAAGTGGCTCCAGGCATAGGTACTAGTGCGGGAATTGGACGAGCAGTTTGCGCAGACGAGTCCCCCTGACTCACCAAGCAGACGCGACGCGCTGCGTCCGTTGCATCGTTCTTTTCTAAATTTACTCCATTACTCTTCAGTGCAGCGAACTCAGCAACGTCCTTGCCCAGCACAATCACTTTCTGAGTCATCGCAAAAACGCTTCCCTGCGATGAAAAAAAAATCATACCTCACCGAAAGTTTCAAATACACGAAATTCATGAAGAAAACTTACCAACACGGGAGCGGAAATATGTTAATGTCGCGTACGAAATCCGCCGAATTATTTCTTAAAACTTTTTTCCTGAAACGCGTAAAGCAAGTTGGATCAAACGGCCATTAGCGAGAGACACATGAACAATCCAATAGAAAATCACGCCGTGAGATTTCACGCGATTGAAAAACACGAACCATCAAGAGATCACATGAATTATGCTCAAGAGCACCAACATCCGCAAAACACACAAATTCCAAAAATCTTGAGTTATCAAAGCACTGATGTTTAATAAAGAATCCCATTCCACGTAGAATTAGATACGTTCCTACACGTTTCGTGAGCATAAAAAAGAGAAATATAAATTTTTTAAGAATTCAAACGGCGGGAAAAATTTATTCACGTTTGTAATCACTCCTTTTCTCCTTTCTGCTCACTGTGATCATAAATTTGGATTTCTTGAAATTATTTTCCTACACCCAAATAACCATAGGAAAAGCAATGATCACATCATGATCGCGGTCACGTAAAAAAGGGAATCCGAACTTTTGTCCACGCCCCCGTATTTCAATTGAAACACAAACCTCAACTTGAATAAGCATCATCCAAAAAGTTGCGTAAAAATTATTTTAGTGAAACTCGTAAAAAGAGTGACGTTAATGCAAAAATACAATCTGGGTTTGAAATCTTTGAATAGTCTGTGTTCCAATTCATGGTCTCAATCTCAAACTTGTCACAGAAATGATCCATCGGCATATATCACAAGACTTGCGCGCCCTCTACTCAAATGGACTAAAACATCGGTGAAGCATCAATTAAGCTATTCTTGGTAATCTAGCTGTTAAAAAGAAAAATTCCAAAAAGTTACTATGCAGTGGAAAAGTGAACAATACAGGTGTTTCAACATTAAAACTTGGGTGAAACGCAATCAGAAGCACATCCAACTTTGAATTAAAAATTCGGGAACGCTTGAAAATGATTTATCGAAATCGAAGAGAAACAGAAAAGAGGTCGTGTTGATATAAATTCACCCAGGAAGGATTAAACAAGTTAATACTTCCATAACAATGGTATTGAGCACGAAGAAATAACCGGAGAGTAGGTGTAGGTCGGGATGATTCATCACAAAATCATCACGTCACATGGACTGCCAGTGACATCTATTATATTGAAAAAAAAAAAACGTCTTTTCGAAGGACCAGGTGGGGAAAATGCATGAAATGGAAATTTAATCACTGCACAGTAACTTGTTGGCACCCTGCCTGTAGACGCGACTACCGCTTTCAATGAACGCAGTTTCATGAAGAAAACTTCACGCAACTCATTTGCACACGACGACCAGATTCGGATCTTTTTCAATTCTACTCAATATTTCTCCGCTCGGTAAACCGGTTTTACAACAAATCGCGTCCACCGATAAAGTGCCATCACAAAGCCTATACCAGACCGGAACCGGGCCCGTGGATCTTTTCCGCTGCCCCTTAAGTAGCACAGGAAATTTATGAACCCTTCGAATTAGTCCATGCAGGAATCCAAACTGAATGAATCTCCTTTCGTCTATGCCCAGCATCTGGGGGTTGTGTCTCACGCACAAATCCTTCACCGTCATCCCGGGTTTCAGGACGCCGTACAATTTGAACACGTCTCTCAAAGGCGGCAATCGCGGGGGTAAATTCGCCACAGTTTGCAAACACTCCTGTTGCAACTCCGTGTCGGTGTAGAGCTTGTGCAATTCAGGGGTGGCAGCATACATGTTGGAGTATTGAAACACCGACACGAGCTTCGCGACACCGTCGTAGACCAAGTGCTGGATCCCATTCTTGACCAAACTCACGTCGACGTCGGCCAAAGCCGCGATTTTCCGCACGTGGTTAAAGCCGTCAATAAAGGGCAGAATCTGGCCCGTGGTCAGGTCCCACTTTTCGAGTTTCAACTTCTTTGGCCTCGCTAACGCGTATCTGATGCAAATACAGTATTTCAAAATATTTATCGTTGCGTAGAATACACGTGGAATCCTTTCTTTCACAAACATTTTCTCAACAGTGCAATCCGGCACACAAAGATATTATTTTTCTGATAGCGGACAGACCTGAAACTGATGCAAACGTCTGAAACGGAATTGTACTTGAAATGAAAAATGTTTCGCCTGAGAAGAAATACCAACAGACTCCCCTGATTTAGAAGAACCTCCGCATTGAGCAAAATAATTTCTACTTTCGCGGCAAAAAGAGTCTTAGAATTCACGATATTTTACGATCATTTAGGGACTGAAATTTCCCTGTCGAGTATTTTTCTTTTGGTTGGTCAGTGCAACAGCTAGGAAATGAGCTTTTCATGTGGGTAGCAGTTCAAAACAGAACAGATTCATTTTTGGGCAATGTTTTCAAAAACTCTCGTCAAATATAAATAGTACTCACCTATCAGAGAATATAGGAACATCCCAATCTTCGACAGGAGCCGGATCTCGTCGGACCGGAACCACTTTCAAATGAAACGTGTTGGCGTTATCCACGGCAATGCTGCACGTACCGGTATAGGAATTTAATCCATTGTAAATCATCGTCATGAACTTCGGAAGGAGCGCTTTCTTTTCCTTCGTGATGAGGAATTTCTGTTCCGCTTCCAGGGTCATGAGGTATTCCGCCAACTTTTTGACTACTGGTTCGAATTGCACAGTGCGGGCTTTTGAGCGACACACGAAACACAGGTTGAACATGAGGAAATTGCGGAAGTACTTCTTGTCTCGAATGGCGACCGGATAGCCCACGATTTTGTAACCCATTGCATTCACTGTGACAACAGTGCCTTGCACGTCCGGCTTCGGGATGATGTACACGCTTATGGCTTCGAAAAGCTCTTTCGAGATGTGTTCTCCGCCTTCTTCGGGAACTTGGTAAGTGAGACATGGACCCAGCGAATAATCGAATTCACTGAAGAACAAGCTTTTGATGGGGAACCGTTCTTCCATTGGATTTCCTATGATAACCAGCGATTTAAATAAATTCCAAGTAATATTTTATTCAATGAAATAGAGGAGACGTGTCGCAATAAAATTACATGGGAAAACACGCTTCGTAACAGCAAGAAAACACAAATTACCAGCGGTCCTAAAATAATCGTACGCTTTATACAATTCACTCTTCCATTAACCCAGCAATTACTTTTTTTTAATCGACAAACGCAGTGTAGACATTCAACGAAAATACGTGAATGTGCTTTGAAATGCCATATAAACAATGAGCCAGTACTATTACAGAAAAGGCGCTTACTTCTTGTGGAAAAACCTGAATAAATAAATTCGAACTCACCACGGAAATGGAAGTTCGGTCGGCAGACGGCGTTTACCGAGAAAGTCAGCTCCTGATTCCCTGCATGGGACTACGCCATAACGTGTTCCTTCATGCATCGGATTTTGAAGCTGATTTCAAGACAAAATCAGGATCCCGTCAATGATTTTAGCAAATTTAATGAAATTTACGACTATTCTAGAATATGATAGAATTTAAATTTACCAACCTTCCCTATCACCCTGCTATAGTGTGGTAATCGATCTTAGGAAGTTACTAACAAAAATATTAGAACTAAAATGATGACAGTTGAGTGAAAAACGCAAGTGGATTGATTTGGCTAAGTCTCAATATTATAAAAAGCGTCAACATTCTTGATGAACATTGAAAGATTCACAATCCCGGATTTCACTTCAATAACTCATTCCCTTGGCGGCATCCACGTGAAAGTCAGGAAGCTTCAAAAATATTTATATTGAAACAGATATCAACTCACCTTTCTGATCATAATTCAGCTGTCGAAGAATCTAGTTCACTCAATCGACACATATCAGCTCGATCGCGTCACAATCACTAGAAACATTGGACACAAATATTTAATTCATAAGTTTCACTATGTTGAAGAAAAGCAATGATCTTCGAAACATGACACGATGAATACATTCCCAGGCGATAGAAAATCAAATGAAAAATAATAGTCAACGAAAAAAATGGACGGATTTTTTCCGCTAAAAAAATCGGCGTATCTTGAACGTAGGCCACGTCACAAAAAAAGACACACATGAATTCACGAAGCATTGCACGATAATTTTTCTTCTTCTCCATGAGCAGGGAGAAAACCGTGAAAATATGTCAGAATACTGGTGCAAATGATACGTCGAGATTATCGTTTTCTTATATTTTAGCTCTGAGGATGAACACACATACACACCAGCTTGAGTTCAGTTCACAACCTCATGGCGAACGAAGACTTTCGGACGACTAAACATGCGAATACCCTCATCAATTTTGCTTAGCTGGTTTTCTATTTCCAGTTTTCTTCTTTGGATCCGCATGGTGTCAATGCGCACCGGTAACGACACCAGCTCACGAACAAGAGCTTCCTCCTCTGAAAAGAGCACCACGAAAGGAGGAAAACTGTAAGATACTGGAATTCCCGAAGAATTTCAAGATTTGTGGTAAAGTATCGAACCCATATTCAATAAAGAAACGTTTACTTTGGGATGGGGCAGCGAAGAACTAAAAGGATCTCAATCGTTACGTGAATTAAAGAATCTTTGAACCTTCAAGTTTGTCATTCACAACGCAAGTTTATGAGACGTTGGATAGGTGTCGCCTCAATCAGCAAAGATCATACAAGCCTTAAAATAAGCAACAGAAAACATCACGGAATTCGGCGACACCTACTGACATTCTATGAAGCAAGGTCGAGAGTTCAGCTAAAAATAAAATAAGAGTGAAACATCCTTGAAAAATGTTTCTACGCGTCTAGATTTAACGAAAGGAAAAACTAAAAAAAAACCTACGAGTTATTGAGTAACTGACAGGTTAAATCTGAAAAGTGACCCACTTGATGGGCTGCAAGTTTGTTTCTTCCATTTTTTTCATTTCTTTCAAAAATTTTGAATATTGAAGCTAGGGGAAACACATCATAATCTTCCTCCTTATTTACTTTTTTTCAATCCTTCCAGCGTTTCGATCTTCTCATCTTCCGACATGACAGAAAACCCTGGAGGAGCCAACCGAAGCTTTTCCTGACGTTCTTTTTCCGCGTTCTCCTCCTTTTCCCACTTTGCCTGTCTTTTTTTCAGGTACCTACAAGCAGACACGTACATTCAATCCAACAGATATCAGCATAAAAATGCTCCGCAAATTACTCACTTGGGCACAACCCCGGGTATGTGATCTGCGGGTATGGGGATGGGATGCCTCGGAGGTGGTTTTTCGGGTATTTTCCGTACGACCACCTTCGGTTCCGGAAGTTTCTTCGGTTTACACGGGGCAGGTACTCCTACTGAATTATCTTCACGCTAAATGAAAATATTTCTCATGAAAGATTAGGCAGCAATTTAGAGAAGAGAAAAATTATCCTCACCTCGACTTTTTCTGAAGGCGCATCGCAAATCGGAAATTCGGAAGCTTTCGTTCGTTGAGAACTGAGAGATTTGACAACTGGCAGCGCTTTTCTAAACAAAAATCATTTGGAAATTGGAAATGAATTATGGTATTTCCGTCAATAAAAAAAAATTGTCCTACAAAAGAGAAGAAAATGTTTCGAGCAAGTTTAGTATCAAGTGGCACATTCCGCACAAAAAAAAGCTCTTTCGCATTAGTTTTGTCTTCACTAAACCGCCAACATGCTAACGTTGGGATATTTCTGGCGGTTGTTCTCGAGGTCTTGTATTTTTAGGAAGCAAAGAAATGATGGAAGAGAACATTTTCTGTTCAAAACATTGTATGTCGGTCTAATATAAATATCCAGTAATTCTTATAGAATGAAATTGTTTGCGTAGCTCAAATTCATCACAATCCAATTTTCCAGACATACTGTACAGGAGTTTTTATAACTATTTCTGCAATATTTGAGGAAAGGGAATAACGAAATAAAAAAGAATTAATTACTGTATTTTAGTGTACTTCAGATGCAAAGAAATATTTAAATTCGATCACGAATGGAATACTGTACACAGAAATGAAGAGAAGAAAATCATCTGTTTTTTTTTTCCCCCCTTTAGAAGAGCCATCAAGTTCAATATTCATCATTTATTCATATCCATCGTTTTTCAGGTGGCAGCGTACATTTTTAAAGGCTCGCTTGGTATTTACTGAAGATTGACCTCGAGTTGATTCCTTCCAAGATTTTTAGAACGCAATTTTTAGGATATACGTGGGTCTTGACAAAAGTTCATGCTATCATTCAAAAGATGTCATACAATTGAGCTGAAAAAAATTTATTCTTTCGGGAAAACATATTCTTTGGCCCAAAAAAGGCTGTGAAGGCTGCTGTTGATGAAAATGGCGGAATTGCCTCGGAAGACCTGGAGGCAACCCTTAGAAAAAATGCTACGTTGATTTCAAAAATTCTGAAGGGAAAGCTAGGCTAAAAAAAATCTACAGGAAGGGCGCCTCATCTTTTGACTGGAGAGCAAAGCTTTGCTAAGGTGAATTTTTCAAAACATTAAAACAAATTTTCAAACAGGACTGATTTTTTTGGGCCAAAGAATATGTTTTCCCAAAAGAATAAATTTTTTTCAGCTCAATCGTATGACATCTTTTGAATGATTGCATGAACTTTTGTCAAGACCATTGTATGTGATACGAGCATACGACTTATCTATTGCAGCAAAATTTAGTTCGTTCATAATTTTCAATATTAAATTTTCGATATACAACCAACCCCTTTAAAACGCCGAAAACCTCATGAAAGAATGATCGCGTATTATCGGGGTTTGGCTGTGATACGTTTCGTAAATTAGTTCGTTCGTTTTACCTCTTTCAAGATTTCACTACTGTCTTGGCAATAGCAGCTTCAATGGAATGTCTGTGGTACAGGACACGTGAGAAAAAAACTTGACTGACCTTTGAAATTTAGCATCGGGAACTTTCGCCACAGCCGCCGGCTTAGTTCTCAGCTCGACCACCTTATTTTTCGGCGTGACAGCAGGCAACAAAGGACTGCTTCTACTCTTTCCCGGGATAGATTCTTGAAGACATAAGCTGTGATAACTGACGCTTCGAGATCCCATTGATGACGCACTGCCCGGTCGTTTCTCAGTTTTGTATCCAGAAAACATCACCAGCGGTTTTTGAAGCTCGACGGCGAAAATAATCGATCTGATCCGATCCCGGCGCTCGTCAGCCGAAATTGAAATGGATTGTTCGTCGGAATGATGTTCATGAGCATTTTCTGTTCCCGGGAGTTTTTGCTCGGATTTTGAGCGTGCAGCAGGATTCCAGTTCGGCACTGGTTTGCCGCCGGGATAACTGTCAGTCACATGGCGGATTCCCCGTCTTCTCGCTGCTTTCAAGTGATTTTCTCTCAAACGTAATTCAGGCAAAACTGCGACGCTCATCCCGGATGCAGGGGAATGTACTGCAAAGAAAAGGAACAGATTTTCATCAGGGTGAACAAAAGGCATTGTTTCTATGTCACTACTCCACGGAGTTCGAGGGATTCTTCAATCTTCAGTATAATGAGCCTCCTTGAACTTGAAAAATAAATTAGTACCACTTTTCTACCGAAAAGAATAAATTGCACGAATTTATTCTCTGAGATAAAAGCTAGGGTTCACTTAAGGACAAATTAAAGGTTGAATTGAGAAATTGAGGCTCAATTAACAAATTTATTGAAGTACGAGTGCGGAGAAGCTGGAATTTGTGTTTTCATGTCCGGATATAGCCACGATTCATCATATTCAAAAATGAATATAATTTTGAAGGTCATTCGTCCCAAATAGATCTAATTAACCACGACTCGCGGTAATTTTTCGCGGGGCTTGAGGGACACCAAATCATCTTGGGGCTGATGATAGGTACTGTATCTTGATTGTCTCTCTTTTTTCGATAAATATGATAAGGTAGTTCGGAATCCTCTGGATTCGGTCATTTAAAAAAAAGGCTCTAAAGGGTATTCGAGGTCTTTAAACTAAGATTCAAAAACTTCCGATCTTGTGGGTGCTCGAAAAAAAATTTTTTTTTTTGACACGGTCAGACAAGAACCATTCCCCACACGATCCGATCGACTCACTAAAAGAGACTACGGCTTTTCCTCAACATAAACGCTCTTCGGGAAAGGACAGCATTGCGTGTAGAATACCCCTATAGCAAGGAACAATGGCCAGACGGAGGAAATAACACCCCCCATCTCCGGAAGGAAGACGCGAGGGCCCAATATTAGACACCCGTGTTATTATTCATACAAGGAACTGACAATCTCCTCGCGAGCCCAGGGTACATAAGCGCTCTTCAACATACCCACAAGAAAAACGGAAGCATGTAACATGCCATCATAAACCCGGGCGATTCAAAAATCTTATGATTTTTTCCGCTCCCGAAGGATAAGTCCCCAACGAAAAGGAAATCTGATGGTCTGCTGGCGCCTCATATTATTTAGAAATACAGTAAAGGTAAACTCTCGCTACAACGAAATTCAAGGGATCAGAAAAAAGTTCGTCGTAGAGAACACTTCAACGTATTGAGAAATCCCTGTGCGACCAAAAAAAAAAGACTTTATACTGCATAGAGACATTCGTTCTAGAAAATATAATTTGGAGAGAGTCCACCTGTATTTCAGTCTTCGGAAATATTGGTTAGAATACTGTTTTCCTTTTGCAGCGCTGTTTTCATAAACTCATATAATGACATGAATAATCTTCAAAAAACAGCTGTAAATATACGCTGTTAAAGCACATGAAATAAAACTGACCATCACTCTCTCACCCATTGACCCACCTACATCCAGGGGAGTTCTGTTGCAGACCCAGTTACAACTTCGTCCCCAGCCGGGTCCCTTGTCGTTGGAGACATTTCTCGTAGGGCCGATTTCCCGAATACCGTATTTCCGCAAATATAAGAATCCCCCTACATATTTTCGCACACAATATGCGAATATTTTGCTTTCCAGGGGTTCTGACCTTCCAAGAACCTAAAACTTCCGTCTAAATTTAGGTTTTTTCGAGAAAAGGAAAAATGTTGTCACACAACCCTTGCTCTTCCCGTTCAGTCAATGACTAAAACATCTTCCAGCGCTAAAAACTGACAATTTCTGGATTATTTGCTACTACTATTCCAAAATAAAAGTGCCCGATCGTTTTGTGGGTCGCAAAAGGGAAGATTTCCTGACACAGACGCATATTCACGCTAATTGCTTAAATACTTTACCTGCATAAGCAGACCCACTAATTTTTGGGCTACAAAAATTGAAAAAAGGGGTGCTTGTATTTGCGTAAACACGGGTGGTTTCTTGCCTGCATATTTCGAATTCCTCAGTCGCAAAGATCAACATTTTAGTCGGGAAAAAAATTTTGAAAATGCGAAGACCCACAACGTCAGCGGGATTTCCCCCGTCGGTATGTTCGTAGAATCGGAAAAAAAATCGTTCTTTATGCATGGCGACGAACTGCGTCAGAAAATTTTGCATATTTCTTTAAACTATGAACTGTCCCCTTCAAAATTTAATACGCTTTCAAAAAAAAATACAGTACTGCATTTTCAACCCTTTTTAGAAGTACTGTACTGAATCAGACCTCTTCCGACGCCGCAGATTTTTGCATTTACTTTGCGAGACCCAATTTGACTGATCTAAAAAAATTCGTTCGAGCAACACATACACACATTGATCACAAATTTAAACGGAGTTTGAAACACTACTACAGTAGAACTTCTGAGCATTAGAGAATTCCGAACTGACTTTTTCAAAACTTTTCTTGTTGATCAAAACAGCTCAAAAATATTCACCGAAATGAAAAAGAAATCGACCATTGAATTTTTTGTCCGCCGACTTCATGGTCGAAAAACGCAAGGAATGTGAATACTTCCGAAAGTTTCCCTTGCACGAATAACTCGCGTGACTCATTATTCGCAAGCTTGACGTTGAAAGCGCACGCCATCAAGAACTATTTTATATTTATCGTCTTTTTGTGGATAGAAAAAGTATTGAAGATCACTGCGTCAGGCCAAAGCTACCGTTCATTCCACGAATGATCGAGAATGGGGCATGAAAAAGCCATGCATAATAATCGAACAAGAAATGCATGCATTTTCAAAGCAGGGATCAATATTCATGGGAAACGAAAAGTCCAGCGTAAATAAATGGAGCATCAATAGAATTTCGGTGTTTTTCGGAAATAATTTTAAAATTAATTCATATCGAAGGGATCATCACAAGATTAATGTAGGCATACACAGATTTCAAACGAGTTGCTGCCCTGAAAAAGAAAACACCACACTTCACCAATTAAAATTAAATGTTGTTTCAAAAAAGGAAGATTTCTGTCACTGAGTCTGTGTAGAATAATTCTAATCGGATTTCCATCTACTTCCGGGAACCTCCGGTTTGTTCAATAGCATACCAGGGTGTGACAGAGTACCACGTAGATTTTTTAATGTATCAAGACCAATTTTTGACTTTTCCCCGCTTCAAACAATGCTTTTCAAACCTGCCCAAGATATCCATCATTAAATTCGGTAAACGTTCGCAAGATTTGAATGCAGTACGCCTGAAATTTCGCCTTTCACAATACATCAATAACAGAATTTGGAATACAGTAGAGTAGAAATGTACAGGAGTGCCACAAAAACATAACCGAATTTGTGCCAGCAAGTGATTCGTCTTTTCAGGCGTTCTTTCTTTGATGTGCAGTTTCCAATTAATTTCTTTAGGACAACGTCTTGATATATGGACAACATCAACATTTAAAGACAAATGAAAAATTATCAATTTTCAACATTTTGATTTTTATTGAACAAATTGAAACTTATACCCACAAAGACTTTAAACATCTTTGCAAATTTACCATAATTCATACTCCAGAACAGGCAAACTTGGGGTTCTTTTGTTGGACTTTTTTCACCCTATAAGAATGCAGAAAGGCTAATGCTTGATCTTCGCTTTCTTGGGTCCTTTTTAATGCCAAGATAAGATTGTGTGTGGTTTTCTTTTTGAGTAGGTATTTTCTGTCCCTTGAAGTGGAGAACAATTATTTTAGCCAATTTTTTGCGAACTTTGTCCCCAAGTTTTTTCATCAACGGGAGAACTAATTAAATATATTCCCATGAATTAAATACATTGCATTTTAAGGGAAAACTTGATCTGACATGCGGACGTTCAAACATAGGGACAAGGACCAAGCACCAATTACGTCCGCATTTCGGGGACCCACTTCATGCAATTCTCCTTGATTCGGTGTACCGTAAATCGCGCTGACATTTTGTCAAGATATTCTCTACTAAGTTTTCAATTCCTTCAATACAAATTTAAAGTATTTTCCTTAATAATCCGAGAAACTCGATAATGCCAAAAAATGCACCCGGTTATCAGCCCGAATAACAGGGATTCTTCCTTAAAAAATAAAAATACCAGTACCTACAACGACTCGCTCAAACTTGAAGGAGAAAAAAGCTTACCTCACAATGAGTTCTTCAGAAGGCGGTGATTGCGTAATGACGACCGCTTTCCGTATCCCCCAGTTCGCGGGTCACCATCGGACATAATCGCACGTCCCACGGGAACAAAAATCTGCACCGACACACATTTGCGGCAAGCTTGATCAATACAACACACACACATATATATAAAGGACTCAAGGGAAGCACTTGTACGGATGCACACGTTTCACACAAGAATCAACCTGTTCCTGGTGTTCGTATAATCACCAGTGACGACGCGGTAAGTTCGTGTTTATTTAATCCCAGTCGCACCACAATTAACACTTCTTTTCACATTTGGCCGCACGAGTTCGAGAAAGTTCCTCGCGAAAATTGAAGGATGTTGGCTCCAAAAAGAAAAGAAACTTCTGGAATGTTTTCGGAGCTGAACACAAAAAACAACGAAAACCTCAAATATTGCCCAAGACGTGTTCTACAAAGAAGCACAGCAAATACGATTGAGGCCCAAAATTGTCAATAGCGACAGGAAGGGATAAATATTTATTTACACAAGATTATCAGACTTCTCAAAATCCATCAAGAAAATGTTCTCCAAAAAGTTTAAAGCCTTCACAAAAGGATTCTTTTGATTCAACAATGCATCTGTACAAAATAAAGTCGATACCTTAAAACAAAATGTTCCTCTTTCATTTTCGATTACAGTCTTAAATCTTCCGGAAAATTTATAACCAATTTCTTTCACAGCTGTGAGCGAATTTCAAAAGCTAAAAATAATTGGTAAGAGAACATTTGAAAAACCAAAAAATCTCAAGTCAATCCCGATCCGAAGATGAAAATAATAATTTGACTATCGAGGCTACGCGAAGAAACTTTTTTTCCAATAAAAATTCGAATAGAAGCCTAGCAGGAGTAGTTAATTCAACGTAGCATTGAAACTCACAGCAAGGTCAATTTATTGATTTGAACCACAAGTAGGTAACGCAGCATCAATCGTTGGGAGGCTACTGGTGTCAAAATACAACTTACGCATAAATGAACTCATTTGATTCAAATCAGAGCTCGAATATCAATCCATGTGATTCTCGCCGCCCACACTTTTCGTGAACACAACCCAAAAAATGCGGGAATCGCGTTCGATAATCATGAAACGTCTTCTAACACAAGTGCGCAACTAAAAAACGTTTTCAAGGAGCAAACCCAAAGATGAAATCAAACCGAAACGGAAACTCAGGGTAAGAAAAAGACGGCCCTGAAGAACCGGTTCCTTCCGAACACGCATAACACACAACATCAAAGCCTCACATGAATATTTGGTGAGAATATCTCAGAAGTATACACCCTGACAGTCGAGAGTTCTAAACGACCAATACAATGAGTTTACCCCATATTTTCTCTGTACTATTGATTTTAAATCACAACCTAGGTGCAAAATACATACGGACATGACGTCTTGAAAGGAAAACAACGCGAACGTTTCGTTTGATGTCACCGGTACCACCAATCGAGAGAAATCGCAAAAATTTGAAAATTTTCCGAATACCCCGCAAAAGTAGGAGGGAAGTCTCAGGTTTACTCGGGAGGATTCAGAAGAGCGGTTTTTTTGTCTGTAAAGTCTGCCTTTTTCTTAATCGAAAACGTGAATGTTTTCAAGCTGAAATCTTGAAAGAATATCAACTCGCCCCTTATTACGAGGAGGGCCAGCACATGAGGTCCAAAATATTCCTCAACCTTAACTTTCGACATTCAAAACACAACCTTGAAATTCCAAGCTTCAAAGACATGAATGCCCAGTGAGCTCTTGATCAAATTAAAACTAAGTTGTACTCATATACCATTTGATTCCAACTTTTAAAATTCTGACCTTCCATTTCACGTCAAATGAAAATCGAACTCAACCGAGGAACACAGAAAAACCGCTCAGCTGAACGTGCCCGAAGCCCACTTGCACTGACAACCAATGAGAATGCGAATCAGGATTCCGCCGTTAGTGTCAATAAATCATGTCGATGGTCAGTTTACAGCCGGATCACGCCCATCGTTCGACTTTCGACCACAAAACATGGACTGCCTTTCTTTGCTTTTAGTTTTCTCAAAGATTTGGCTGAGGGAGTCCGTCGATTTCGGGTAGATGCCCTCTCTGACGTAACAAAGCTCCCAACGCATGGAAAAATGCCACTTGCTGGTCAATTCCGAGATTCATGACCTGAGACGAGGAAAATATTTCTTTGAATGAGGATTCTTCTGAAGAGAAGACTGCGTCTTCGATTCGCGTGGAAAATGCTAGCACAGTAAATTATTAGGTTCCAAAAGGGGCATCCATTCACGGGAACAACACTGCATTGTAAATCTTGAAATCAGCAAGCATCTTTCACACTGAATAAGATTACTTGAAGAAAACACAGGAACTTCAAAACATATTTTACATGATAAATGTGATAGCACAGTTTAAATGTTTAGAAGCACAGTAATTTTTTCCAAGACACTCTTCATGTACCTTCTTGCAAGTTTAATCTATGTCGAAAGGAATTTCAAATGAGCCATTTTCAGTCTGTGATTCAGTTGCATTTTTGGACCATCTTGCACAAAAAAGTGTGCATGAGTGAACATCGCATTTCGACAGGAAATTTCCTTTGAGTGTTAGAGTACTATATGTAAATACATCATAAAAATAAAATTAAATCAAAACAAGAAGAGAGAAACACATGAACAAACCTGCTGCATCAACTTTTGAGGACTCGGAGTCCGGATGAAAGAAGACAAATAGACGTTGACGAAGGTGGCCATGAGATACTGACAATCAAAACGGTCCAGAATCCCTCCATGTCCAGGAATGACATCACCGAAGTCCTTTATTTTGAACGCCCTCTTGAACCCAGACGCAAAAAATCCTCCAAAAGGTCCGATAATGGACGCGAATAACGACAGGGCAATCGAGTGCCAAACAAATGGATAGGTCTATAAATACAAAATTATCCATTGATCAGCAGTTCCGAGAATAACGATACAGAAGCAATTTCTCCATATAAAATGATTAATTTATAAAAACAAGACAAAAAAGCGCAAGTTTTATCGTTTCGAAGGGTTGGCCTGAATTTTTTATGAAGCAAAACTCACCAGTACCGTTTGTACATGAAATCTAGCAAATATTGTACAGTACGACAAATCAATACAGGTAAAGTAAAATTGTCTTGATATTAATTATATCGTTAAAATGGTAGGTAATATACAGAATTGCTCTAAAGTCTGCGGAGAATTCCACTAAAAGCTCGATTCATTTTCGAGAATGATTTAAAAAATACTTTTTGTCAACGAAATTTTCTTCGGGAAGAGAGACAAAAATCTTCGGGAAACCCAATTCTCCATGGGAATCACTTGCATCATTTTTCGCTCAAAAGAACCATTGAATTACAGTGCTGTATTTCACATGTATACCTACGCGATTTCACTTCGAAAAAAAAATCTTACCCAAAATCCAGGTCCATGCCCAAATAACTGATACTTCGTCAGAGTGAACACCGGTGGGGGCTCGCATTCCAAGACCATAGCAGAGGCTTCCTCCGAGTATTGAATGGGGCAAACGAAATACTGGTAACGAGACATAAAATGTGCCGCTATGGCACCGAAAATAACAGTCGAGATCCCGCCTCCCACAAATCCTTCCCAGGTCTTCTTCGGAGACAACTGAATCAGCGGGGTCTTGCCAAAGAAAAATCCGAACATGTACGCCATGATGTCATTACAGATTATCATAGAGACTGGAATGATGAACCTAAAAGACAATTAATATTCAATTAGACGAAATTATTACCAAATTGAACAAGAGCTTACCAAATTAATCCTTCAAATGAATTTTGGATGATCAGGTAACTCTGAGTAACACAGATAAGCAGTGCAACATGAGTCCAAGCGAACAACGAAAATTGGCGAAGGTAGTATTTCTTCACCAATGAGAGAACAAACCAGACAAAACCGAAAATGTACAGGCTGAAGGAGATGAAACGATGGTACATGACCACAGCCCTCAAAACATCCTGCAACAGAGAGGATATGCAAAATTTGATGTACCCGATACTGCACACAAACTTAATCTGAACATTAATTACAGTAAATAGTATGAACACCTCATCATGCTTGCCAGAAGAAATGATTTCTGAATTAAGCTCAACATTGTTGAAAAATCACTTGGTAGAAAAATATTTTAAACCAAGTTTTGAAAGGCAGAAGTTTACTTCGGTAATAATCAAGAGATTAAATTACAGACTTTTCCACGAATGAGGCTATTATTCCAGAGATTAATGAATAAAAGCACAGAAAACTCACAGTTTTGTTGATTAGCACACCAAAGTAGTCGACAAGGCTTTCCCCGTAGAAGAAATAGTTGGACGTGAGCAGGAAGTACCAACTCAAAGAACGAAACCACGGAAGCCCATGAATCCGATAAACACTGTAACCAATGTTGATGATCTCTGCGAAGCATTTGACCTGCACTATCAAGGTCTAAAACGAGATAAATTCAGTGTAATATATACAAAATTCACAGAATTAGTAAGGTTTCAAACATACCGCAAACATCAGAGCGAGGGGACCTAACGCTATCAAGAGTCCAAATCCGCCCAACATGAACCACGTGAAGAGAAAACGAACCATGTAATTCTTCCACCTACAAGATATGAACATAATGCATAAAAACTGGTCAGCTAAACTTTTTCAAATATTATTTACTTTGGGGGGAGTTTATCAAGAACGTAATCAAGATACTTCGGCTCCAAATCGGTTCCCTTCGGAACATTTTTGGAGACATTTTCCACCACCTTTTCTTCCACACACTTCTCTTCCCACTCGGAGTCGGTCCCGTCTTGAGCTCTCTGTTGTTCAAACACAATAAAATAGGAACTTCCAATCAAATTTTCAACATTTCAAAATGGAAAAGATTCTCACCAAGTTGTCGTCAATGTCGTCGGGAGTCTTGCCATCTCCATCCCCAGCAGCAGCCTAATTCGTTCGCATAAATTTTAAAAAATGAAGAGCTTATTATAGGACGTCCACTATGTCACACAAATAGAAATTCAATTTTTAAAATTTTCATAATCAAATCGTAGCTTCCTTTTGAATTACCGCAAATAAATGTTCCGTACTTGATTTTACCAAAACATATCCAAAAATCGTAAAAGAATTTGAGCTCAATGCGCATGAGATATTGCACATTAGAACCCCCTGCTCGACTATGTTCAAGACCGTATCCATGAGAAGTGCAACGATTCGAAATTCTAAATGGCATGATTATTGAAGAAACTCGAATATATATTTTTTTTCACAAAAAGACTGGTTAAACTTCAATTGAATAATAAATACTGAAATTCTGAATAACTCTACCTCATCCGTACGGACTTCAGACTCCTCAGGGGGGTCGGAAACTTGGAATCGTTGGCGCAAGAGCGGGTCGGTGTCACTCATTGCCGAAACAAAGAAAATGAGCGAATCCAATCAACACATGAGGTTGAAGTGAATGTACAGGAGTCACCGAGATAAATAAAAAATTTCGAACTGCAAGAGTAAAAAAGACTTAGAAGACGCCAGCAGGAAAAACACTGAATTCTGCAAGGCAGACGTTGCAACACAAAAAATGAATGAAAATCAGGAATTCGGAAAGCTTTTGAACAGAAATGTGCAAATGACGCATAGATTTATTTAGTACACACGAAAGCCTCACACACAATCAGAAATGACTAGTTCTGAATACCATCGACGCGATTCAAATTCTACAATACAATAGATCATATTCATGTCTTACGACTGAGATCTTTCAGTTGAAATACTGCCTCGCCATTACTGCGATGATACACCGATTACAAATTTGACCAGATGAAAATTTTTCGAAATCATGACTCGCCGTGCGACTAGAACAGTTTCCGCAGGATTGAATAAGTCATTTCACTGAGATGATCCCTGAACAGCACTGTAAATGTTCTTCAGATTCTTCAATACTTTCGAAGGCGAATGGTCGCTGCTCGTCTTCGGCTCATCTTCCGCCCCAGATTCGGAAGTATTCGCGAACGGTTGAAAAGCTGACATCGTAGTCGAGTTTTCTCCGTCCGTTGACGCATCCTCAGCCTGTGCTTTCCGCTTTCTGAAATTTTCGGGCTCCGACAACGTCATCGCAGGAACGCCGAGTTTGAAAGAAGGCGTTTGCAGGAAACGTGGCATCACCGGCAGCGGAGGCACGGGAATCGGCTTCACAATTGGAACACCAGTTTTTTTGCTAGCGGATTCAGGATCTGTCCGTTTGACATCATGGTCTGGGGTTGACTAGACAGGAAAACATCACTTTGCCTAAAATGTACTGATTTCTCTTGATTTCTGCTCAGACCAACCTCTTCAACTCGCCGCAACGAGACTGCTTGCTCCATTCGGGGACGCTTCGTCTCTGGTTCCTGCTTCACCTCGTTTCTGACTCTCTCGGAGCTTACCGCCGAAGTTTCGGATGAATTGGAGGCTTCTTCACTACTTTTCCACTTCGCAACCATGTTCTTCAGCAAATTACTGAAAAAATTTCCGCCTGAAAAAAAAAAACTCCGACCTCAGCATTGAACAAAAAATGTCGACTTGGGGAACTTACCAGTGCGGGTAGTGTCAAACGGTTCATAGAAATATGCAGGAGTGGCCGCAAGAAGGCGGGAAACGAAGTGATACGTTTCGGGCGTCAATGAGGTTGTCAACCCAGAGTGTTGCTGTTGAGCATGTTGTTGTGCTAGCACACTTTCTTGCCAAAGTCTTAAATATTCATCACGCACGGCGGGCAAATCCAGCGGAGCAGTCGGCGCGAACGGTGCTCCTGGGAAGGGTAAACCAGATCCTCCGAGATTTCCCATACCACCGATAGCTTGACTGGCAAGGGCCGACGATGCCAACCACGAATGGATGGGCATCCGATCCCCTGGGCGGGGAGTTAAGGGAGTTTGATCCGTCTTGTCGCCGTTAAAGCCGTTGACAGTGACCATGACAATTCTTCAAACGTAAATTCACCATAGACACCCGCGAGATTTTAAGAAGTGAACGACGGTCAACCTGAAAAACAGTACACACTAAAAAGAAAGATAATTTTAATCTTGGGATTCACGTATCAGACCATAAACGTAGCCCTGCAACGCGGACGTAACACGGAAACGATCACGAACATTCGGAAAGATTTTAGATTCTAGTCTAACTGAATGTCATAATCACTAGAACACACCCAGTACAAACGATGCGTTGAGCTTCAACTTCCGCAATGATTTCAACGGACTTGAATTCCAACCGTTCTTTTTTTTTCCCTGAGCGCACTTGTACACCCATAACTCCAATTCAAAAACACTGCGACGAAGAGGAAAGCAACATGCGGAATACAGTAACATTGAAACCAAAACGAATCGAGGGGTAGCATATAGGGCTTCATCCCGTAGCAAAGCACGTTATATTATGTAGATGTCGCCCGCACAGCGCTAGATTAATCCTTTTTTCAAGGACAACTGAAGTTTGCAGTTTACTCAGCAATTTGATCTTCAACAATGAATTTCTTGCTACACATTCAACATAGGGAGATCCCTTTCAGTAGAAGTAAAAAAAATTGCATGTTACAACCACTGCTGTACGCCGAATGATACACTCCTCCATAAAAATAGGCTTCACTTCAGAACTGCTGTATAAGAGAGATGATATTTTCCTGATCACTTCAGGTCTGACTTCTTCAGAAGCTCTACCATAGAAGCTTCCAGCAAACAGTAATCCTCACAGGCACGCGCATTCATTTCCAACATATTTTTCAGAGTTTCAATTCCCCTGGAAATAAAATAAATATGAATTCGAGACCATTACACATAGAACATAAATGTACGGCTGCAATCATGCCTCAGAAAGAGTGTCTGAAAATTTGTGCTGCGCTCATTAGGATTATTTTAGTATCGTCAATGTAAATACTGTACTGTATCGTATAAATAACTAAGCTCAAAAATCATCCTATATGAAAAATGGAGTTAAAATGGAAAGGGTACAAAATAATTACTCCTCCAAGGGCTTGGAAAGCTCGACAAGCTTTCTCTTCTCCTCTACAAGTTTCTTCGTCATCGTTATCTCCGCCTGAGTGCATTCTTGCATTTCTTCCACTGTTCTCTCCAATTTCCACTTCCTAGCCTGGGACAATACACAGGAATGAAGATCAAAACTTCATCTAAGGAGACTTAGATGAACGCTTCCTGCAATTATTTACGGATACTGCATTACCGTTAGGGTGGTAACTTCACTGGAAAGCTGAACGCATTTTTCTGACAAACTTCCAAGTCGTCGTTCGGCGTCTTCTTCCATTCGACGCGCGACCTCCGAGTTCGCGATCAGTAGAGCTTTTTCCCTCTCATAACATTTTTCTTTGAAAACTCTTAGCAAATCCTCCAAAGCGGATTCTTCCTCGTCAATGGTCTTTTTCAAAGCAGCGTTCTCTTCCTTCAACTCACGCAAATATAAGTCACCCAAGTTGAGGAGATTCGCCTACAAAGGAGAGCGTGAAAAATCCCATAGATTTCCCCGTCATCTGATTTACAATAAGATGCATACCACCCATACACAAAAGAAGAAGCCATAAACATTTTTGAATTGCCAAAAAATCTACGAACGCGAATTTCGGAAGAAAATTTAATTTTCATATACAGTACTTGCCTGTGTATTATCCAGACTTTCTTTCGCAGAGGAGTCACTCATATTTTCAACGTCGTTTCTTATTTTTGCTGAAACGAATCGAAAGAAAAATTTTACAGTGAACGAAAACGGACAGTATCAAATGACACGTACAAATTCAACAAAACATGATGCAAATATATTATCACAGCCGGACGGAACAAAACAATCGTAATCGTTGGTCTACAATTTCAGGGACGTCGAAGAGAGGAAAAAAAGAAACAAAGACCGATGGATTCAACGAACTCAGACCATCGCGGTGATATCCAAGATTTCCACTCCGTCAGACTCATCACCGTCCAACAGGGAGCGCCGGGATTGTTCGGCAACATCCGAGTCGTCCCAAACACGTTTAAAGCCGTCTCCAACTGCACCCTTGCTTGCCTTGAATCCGTCATCACTCAAAAAGAATGGAGTCGGTGAACTCGTCACGATTTCCGAGCCATTGAAACCATAGCGTTCCGCATGTCGTTTTGCCCACAAAAGGTGACACATGCACGCGTGTCCCACGGCATCTACGCCGTACGTCAGTCCTAAAGCAATACATTCTATCATAGCAGACACTTATGTGAATGTGAAATATTGTACTGGTACACTTAAAAAATAAAGCGATTACGGACAGAAAATTTGCGAATCCATGCGTGTTCTGGTACAACACGTTTTCGTGAAATCGCAATATTCTTTTTGACAGGTTTCATAGGGAGTTGAATACACGCGGGGAGGGCCAGAGAATTTCGTACCGATTTTAAAGTGACAGCACATATCATGAACCCGAAATTTTAAAAGATTTGACAAATATTCAAATCGAAGAAATGTAAAATGCAACCGCTGTTGATGGATATTTATTTAGTTTTATAGCTGCATATTTCACTGAACGGATAAATAAAAAAAACCAACCTCTGAAACACAGCGAAGTATCATAACAACCGCTAAACACATATCATTTCAAAACTGAGCATACCGGATTTGCATTTATAGAATATAATTTTCTCGCGATTTGAGAAGGTACATAATTTTCCAGTTCTTTACTGTCCGTTGGATATTTCAGTCATTGCAAGAACAGTACATTCACAAGAATATAAAAATCAGGTATTTGATTTTTTCTTTCTTGAATTTGGATAATTTGGGACAAAGAAGGGAGAAAAAAACGAACTCCAGTATCAGATTTGAGGCAACCTGTCAAAATTTCTCAATGGAATCGCTGTATTTGTCGGGCTTGATAATTCTTATCTTGTATCTGTCGGGTCCGGCCCCCGACGATATTCGTACAAATCCTTCAGGCTTGTATGGCTTCATCCACTACACGAAGAGGGGCCACACTCGGAACTTCATCAAAAATTGAAGGTTATACAAAAATTTGAATGGAAAGGCATTCAAACGCGATTAAATTAAGGTAAACGTCTAATTGAGCTGTCCTTCAGCTCCCCCCTTTTTTAAAGTTTCAGCGGTTTTAAAGCCGTGCTTACTCGAGTACAACGCGCCCTTGAACAAGACTCGCAAACCTTAATTTATCGGCCAACAATTCGCTCAAAAACCTATCTCCACATAATACCCACACCCCAGTTTCCGTTGACTGAAAATTGATATTCGTTCAAGTAATTTTTTTCTATAAAATATCATGATTAAATCATAGAACATGAAGAATTAAATCAGAATTTGCATTAAATAGAATTTTCCCACTTTTTTCATCTGAGACCAACTTCTGACTCACAGCAATGTTTCATCAATTTTTTCTTTCTTAAAAATTCTATACCCACACGCACCCCACTTTTCTCCCTTGTCACTTGGACCGACCCCTTGATTTTGGACCGAAATTCGGTCCAAAATCTTCTGGTCCACTTCAGATGATATTCTTTCATCCAGCATTGTAATCCAATAGATCTAAGTATCGAATCATGAGAAAACATCCAGAAACAAGTTTCAAGATATATGGTGTTTCCCGAGATTGCCACTTACGAAACAGCCCTTCAGGGGATAATTTAGGTTGCTCATTCTGTGGAACATAAACTCACCCAATGCGATTTTGAACCGCCAAAAGACATCAACTTTCGTCGAAATCACGATAACGGCGAACGGGACACCCAGGAACCAGACCAACGCCGCTGCACCGAACCGCAACAAAGTTTCTCGCTGCTTTTCCGTCGGAAAGTGCGATAACGTGGGTCGTTCCGGTCGGGAAAAAGCAGAACGTAATTCCCGCATAAACAAAAATGCCATCAGGCATCGAATCACAGCCGTCACTGCATCCGGCCAGCTTTGAATAGCGTCCGAATCAGCGTCATCCGCTCCGACCATATCCAGTCTAACGAGCTCCATGCTCGCAGAAACGGTCGCATAACAAACCCAACAACACAACACAACTTTCTTCTTTGAAACGTTGTCCGGGTAAAACAATCCCCAGCCACTGGCGAGGGCAACGAACAGCAGCACCAATAAATCCTGCGGAAAAAAAAGTTTCTGTGATTTCTGAGACCTCAACACACGTACAGTACATCACAACGCGCGCCCCTTACTTCCGATAAAATAAAATTAATGCTCAAACTAATAGGCGTGAATCAAAGAAAAAACGAAAAGCCTAAGAAAACTTGGCTTGTGGCCATATTTGAAAAATCAAAAACTGTTAATAAATCCCAAGAAATCAGAATATCAATTCAAAATATATAAGCTAGGATATGGGTTCGAAAATTGTCACCATCCGAAATTCAGTTCTCGACGATCAAGTGTCCAAGAGAGAATCCTCCGAACTACCTTGGATACATAAATAAGAAAAAGGGTAGACTTCAATTCAACATCCAAAAATTTGTCTTCTAATACAGCCCTCGCTTCTTTCTTCGCCAATACGAAGTATGTAACATATTAAAAATGAAATTTCACTTTTCAAGTATCCTCCACATTTATAAAAAATACGTCCAACAAAAAACTTTTCAATCGTAAGTCAACATGGTTGAAATCTTAAAAAATCGAAGAAAAAATCTCTTCGATTTCTCCATTACAGTACTGCATATTGAAAATTACACAAACAAATGATACAATTTAAAAAAAAAAACACATAAGTGTTTGCAGGTTCTCCTCAAAACAATCAGATCCTCAGTGAGAGAAGTGAGAGCTTTCAACGTTCTGCTTACTATTGAAGCTGAGGAACGAAAATCGGACAACTGATGAAATAATGAATTTTGATAGCACAAAACTGACGAAACTTACGAAGCAGCCCGTGAATCTTGCTTTGAACGCAACCACTACACACATGGACTCTCTCGAGAACGAAATTCACGGGATCAGAAAAAATCGTTGCAAAGAATGCCTACGTAGTGGGTCGAGAACCCCATGAGAACACAAAAAATTCTTTGCACTGAGGAAATCGTTTTAGACAAAATTGTCGCAGCGATAGTCTACCTCTTTAACGGTGGGGGGAAAAGGAAACCTTACATGAGTCATAAACGCGAAAACGCATATGGTCTGATAATTTTCAGGTCCAAAAGAAAAAACGGAAGAAATTACGAATAATAAGCATCAATAAAAACCATGATAACGGTGGGGGAAAAAGGAAACCTTACATGAGTCATAAACGCGAAAACGCATATGGTCTGATAATTTTCAGGTCCAAAAGAAAAAACGGAAGAAATTACGAATAATAAGCATCAATAAAAACCATGCGCAGTGCTAACTAAAACTGACGTGAAAGTTGAAAAAACCGCAAGCATCCTAAGCCGCCTGCGATTTTTCAAGAAAAGGTGTCAATTTTCTGCAGATATGAGACAATTTTACAGAAATTATTACGTACTGTAATCAAACGAAAACTATAGAAAGGCCAGTCCATACAATTAGAGAGCTACACATTCTTGCCTTCCACAATCATTAAAATTGTGGGAATTTTTTGATTAGATGAATGTGTTCAAATATGTATATGAGTTCGAATATAAGTGTTTCTACAGAAGTCGAGTCAATTTGATGATGAGGAATTAAATAAGTATAAACAGCAATTGGCCGGTGCGCGACCGGCCGAAAAGATAAGCGCTAGCTTTGTTCTTTCACACAAGATTCCTTTCGGAAGATTTGTACAAAACACTTTTCACAAGAATCTTCAGTTTCACGA